CGATTACGCAGAGATCGAGTTAGCCGGGTTTACTAGGGTTGGATGGGTGTGCCGGTAAATGGGTGTCTAAATGGCTGCGTGTGGGATGTGGTTACTTCGAAAATCACTTAGCAACTATGCAAAAGCGATCTCCAATAAAAACCGTCAACTCCACTCCTGGAGCAAATTGATTCGAATGGATCCGATTGGATCACACAAGGTGTGGCGTAGGCCAAGACTTGTTCCAGTTTCGTTTGGGCCCGCCAAACAGAACTTCAGTATCGTATCTGTGGAGTGGACTGTGGACTGTCCACTTTCCCGCAGCCAAGTGGCAATCAAGAGTCAAGGAAAGTTAAGTGCAGGCGACATTTTAATACGCTTTTTTAATGGATTAATTTTTTGCAAATTGCTAGAATTTTAATAACCCTTTGATCTATTTTTAAAGTATAAAATATTTAGTTTTAACGGCTAAACAATTTTAGTTGCTGAATTTGACTGTGTTTTAGCTGGTTTTTCGCTTTATTATTATCTAACTTTTTAAGTGATTTAATAATTATATTCCAAAACAACGAATACAAAATATAAATTAATTTTTAAGTGTTTCAAGTTAAAGAACTCCGTATCTTTTGAAACTTGTGAGTTGCCCTTATCTTTTGACCGGAGAAACAAGTTCCCAGGTAACTCCGCCTAATTCATTGTTTACCAACTTGCCCGAAAAGTTCCCGAAAAGGGTATACAGACAGAAAGGCCCGCGAAGAACGAGCGCAAAGCGGAGTGATCAGAAGACGACTGCGGACAAGGGAGCAAAACGGAGTTCGCGTGCCACACACAAACCGAAACAGAAACGTAGTCGTCCCCAAAAAACCAACAGAAATAGAGCCCCCGCAGCCCCCCGCCCCTCCCTCATCCGTCTGGGCCTGGCCAACATGAGAATATGGCTAGAAAAAGAAATTGGAGTGGAGTGCTCGAGTGCGCAGCGTGTGAAGTTCATTAACATTTTCATTAATTGCGAAATGCCGCGACAAAACGCAATGTGAACTGCAGCAATTAAAAGCGGCCCAAGTAAACTACAGTCAAATTGGAGTGTAAATTATGTGCACCCTTAATTTTTCGTAATTAATAAATGGTCAATTGAATTTTTTTTTTACTTTCATTGAATTGATATAATTTTTTATTTGAATTATTTTTTTTAAGCAATCTAAAGATACAAATTTTATTGTTTTTCGGAATAATTAGCCTTCTCAAAAACAGCAGTTCACGAAATGATTAATTCTTAGTAATTCGTATATGAATACTTTAGATCCAATAATGAACCATTTAATAAGTCTGGTAAGGGAGGGAGTTATAGATTGTCACTATGGGATTCGGATTCGTTTCATTTTACCACGTAAATTAAAGTTCTCAAGACAAAAATGAACTTTCTTCCTAAAAACGAATTCCACGAAATTTCGAGATCTTTCAAGGTTCCCACTTAGGGAAGTTCTCCTGTGGCCTACGCACACTCCCCCATTTCCTTACACACTCACACACACCTGTTGATGGCAAACGTCGTAGTGTGCGGCTGGTTGTTGGGCGTAGAAATTTAAGTTGCTAAAATTCTGCTCCGGATTGTTATTGTTGTTGCTGTTATTGTTGGTTGTATAAACACACGCGTTTTGCTGATTTTGCTGCGAATTTGGCGGGTTCTTTCTGCCGTGACTGTGGTGGCCGTTGTTGTTGTAGTGGTGATTGGTATGGCTATTGTTGTTGTGGCTGAGGAATATGGTCGCCTGCGTCGTTTGACCGTTTGTATTCGCGTTTTGCACTAATTCACCGCCGTGCGTTGTGTTTGACGATTTTCCGGGACCGGGACCGTCGTTACTCTTGCGCGTACCACCGTTAAATAAATTTTTATTTTTCAACGCCGCCGTTTGTCGCACACCGGCATTCGCTGTCTCTCTCTCCATCTCCCCGTCTCGCTCCCGATCGCTGTACATTTTGTTGTTTTTCTTCTCTCGATCTCGCTCTGCTCTCTCTCTCTCTCTCGGTTGTTTTGTTGTCGTTTTTTCAAGTTTGTTTACCGCTCCACAGTGGGGCGAAAAAGCCAAAAGTCTGCCTTAAATCAGCGGAGCCCTATATCGAATATCTTTTGATGGGGCATTGTTGAAGGCAATTAAATATGTAAAAAAACATCATAAGGTGAATTTTTTTAGTGAAATTTTTTTGTTGTAGAAAATTTTTAAGAAAAAAAAATTGTTTTTTTTAGAAAAAAAATGTAAATAAATTACTTATAGGGTTCTAAGTTTCCCAATATTTTTTTTTAATTTAACTTGATTTTTGAAAAAAAAAATTATTCAAATCGGTCAACTATATCTTATAGCTGCCATATAAACGCTTATTACAAAGGGGAATGTCTCGGTTCTATTTCAATATTGGTTCATATAAATTGGGATTAAGTCATTATTTATCATTTTAGCTCTATTCTTACCTTTTTTTTAATTGGTCAATGATATCTTATAGATGTCATAGAATCAATCAAGGAAATATAGCATATTTTCAAAAAAAAACTGGTAGAAACCGGTATTTACTTCATATATGTATTTTTAGTAAAATAACATAGCTTAAAATTTTAAACCCAAATTTGTTTATTAATTTATCATTATCTTCATCAATACCTTCACATAAGTAAAATATCTTCATGATGTTAGGGCGCGCGAATGAACCAGGGCTGACGATATTTCAAATTATGAACATTTCTTGCTAACTTAAACTGCGGTTTTCTCAGAAGAGGCACAAAAGGGCAGGCTAATTTTTTCAGAATATGTAGTTAAATATCTAAACTTTTTTTTAAAAAAGAATTAAACGGGGATCTAGGGTGTAACACTACTTTACGTCCAAGGATATCCAAAAAATCCCTTTTTTTTTTGACCACTTTTAAAAAATTAAAAAAAATAGTAATTATGTATCTAAAATTTTTATTTTTTTTTTAATATTTTAAGAATTGGTTGCTCTTAAAATTTCAATCGTTACATATACGACTTAGGCCCTTGGGCGCTTTCAGAAAAATTTCAAAGATGTGTAAAAATACCTTTTTTTCTTATTGGCTAAAATTATATTTCGAAAAATCCACTTTATAAATCTGTAGTGGGAGAACCATTCAACACAGATCACTCTTTCCTTTTGATGTGTATAGAGAATTCAATTGTTTTTAAAGTTGCATTGCAACATTTTGGAAAATCTTAAAAAAAAAAAAAACCATTTTCGGCAGGCTTTTTGTTCTAGGCGCCCCACAGTGGAGCGGCTCAACTCATGAGGCCAGGTTCAACTTTGTAATCAATTCCACAGAGTAGAGAATACCCTTAATTTTTTATTAATTTTTTGAGCCTTAAAGTATGCACTAAGCTTTTGAAGGCGCTTATCAAATATAAGAGCTTTTTTGTTAGACTAGTTATAAAACCTTTGAGAAATATCTGTTGCTTCAGGCAATTCTATTTTTGTTTAGAAATTTATATTAACTGTAAACATTACTACAAAAAAACGTCATGAGGTCCCCTTATTTATTTTAACTAAGTATGTACCCATATTAAAAGTATGAAAATAGGAACCTGTTTATGACTAATTATGTCCGTTCTATGACTAATTCGTATATTTTTTTGAATCTTACTTAAGACAGAAAGTAACTTAATAAACTTGTAAAAACATTTTACTCATCAGTGTTATTTATTTAAAAAACGAAGCTTGGATTGTAGTGAATGCAATGACTAATAAACTTGTCACCAATCGTACGGTTGATTTCATGCGTCCTATTAAAAAAATCGTTTCGTAATCAACAAAAATAAATGTTATTTTTATCAAAAACAAATATATGAAAAGTTTCACATTAAAAGGCAAAGAAAGTGTGGTGAAAATATGAAAGCAATTCTTCCGTTATTTTGATTAAATTACTGGAATTAGGATGTTATCATTTTCGGAAGCACAATTATGTGAAGTATGTCCCTGAAACCTTTGAGACCAAGCCCCAGAATTGGCAAGTCCCGACCCTTTTCAAAACGAAAACAGAAAAGCCAGCAAATAAAATGATTCATGATCCTCTTGCACACCCATAACGAGGGAAGAGCAAATAATTCTGGTAAATATTTGGCATATTTGTGGATTGCTTTTGGCAATGCCTTTTTAATTCCACTCCCTCTTTTTCCGCCTGATCAAATGCAAAAACGAAAGGCAGACACAAATGCACGACGACGGCCAGACAAGTGAATGAGCTAAGCAAATGGGGCTGACAACCAGCGACCTTCTCGATATGGTTAGGAATCGTTAATTTTAGCCAAATGAGTCAAAGTCAAAACGAGTAGCTATGTATGATCGATTGCGGATCAACCTGTGGAATGCATAATGCCGTTTTTTGGCAGCGAATCCTTCGCCGAATTCCCCAAGGGAGCTTTCCAGTCCCTTCCTTATATGTCCATTGAATCGTTGAACTGAATTTTAGCATGGAGCTAAAAATAGATCAACCATATTTAGCAGGCAAACAGTAGCGAAAAGTTTTCCATGATTCTTGCAATATAAAATGTATCTAAGAGTTTGTCCAATTGTTTCTTTTTCTTAAGATTTGTTTGACAAATATCTCAAACGCATTTGTGTCAATATTTGATTTGCCAAAAACGGCAAGTATAAAACTGCGAAAATCTGCCAGAAAAATATTACTGTCAATACAGAGTTACCAAAATGAAGTTCTTCACCATTCTTTTCCTTGTGTGCTTCATTGTAGGTTTTGAAGCTGCCAATGCGTTTTCTACTTCGTCTGTGGCTTCGTCGGACTATGGAGAATCGACTACCACCACGGAAATGTCGACCACTACCACTATCCCTTCAGTACCTACCCCAGCGCAACCTCCATGCGGAAGCAATCCTCAAGGACCCTGCGGGCAGGCTCCTCCCCCACTGCCACCCTGTGTAGGCGGAACTGGTGGACCTTGCGGAAAAAAAATGTACTTCTTCTACTGAATAACATAAACATATCATCCTGGCGAAATAAACATAAAAAGGAAAGTTTAACTTTGTTAAGTTTTCGAACTATCAAACCAATCAAATAGTTAAGGTTCTCTATCCATGAAGTTAATCCACGCTTGGCTCTAAAATTAGAGCTCCCATATTTGTAGACAAACAGTGGGAAAAGTTTTCCATGATTAGGGACAATATGAAATATTTCTTTAGCATTTGTGTAAACACTTTACTTGTCAAAACGTAAAGTATAAAACAGCGAAATTCTGTTACCAACCTATCACTGTCTATTGAGAGTTACAAAAATGAAGTTCCTCGCTATTCTTGTTCTTCTGTGCGGCATTGTAGGATTTGCGTCCTCCTCTTCGTCCACGAACTCCATTTCGGATTACGACACAGCTTCCACAACTAGCACCACTACCGCTGCTCCTGTGGGTCAACCTCCTTGTGTCAGCTATCCCGAAGGACCCTGCGGACAAATCCCACCCCCCTTGCCACCCTGTGTTGGCGGACTTAATGGACCTTGCGCCCAAAAACTCTACTTCTTTTACAAATAAATTAGCCTTTTTCCGAAGTAATAAAATAGGTCCTATAAACATTGTTTTAGTAAAAGTTTGAGCTTTCATAAAATGGTTTAGTCCAGTGATAGCTGCTGTATTGGTCATCTTTTATTAATTATGTTTTAATAAATAAATACAAAAACTTCAATTACAATTAAAGGTCAAGTCTTTTGAAAAATATTGGAAACCCCTTTAACCAAATCTCAGCTACGCTTCTGATTTTATTAAAGTATTTATCCAATTGTTCTTTTCTTGAGATTTTTATTTCAAATATGCACCGCTCTAGCATTTGTGTCAATATTTAACTTATCAAAAATGAAAAGTATAAAAACCGTGAATTTCTGTCTCAAAGATATCAAAGTCGATTCAGAGATACCAAAATGAAGTTCTTCGCTATTTTGTTCCTTCTGTGCGGAATTTTAGGACTCGCTCTGTCTGCCTCTTCTACCACATTATCTTCGGATTTCAATGACTATGGCTCAGATACCGTTACCTCTACTGAGGTACCAACTACTACAACTAGTGCTCCTCCGGCACAAGATCCATGTGGAAGCGGACCCAAAGGACCCTGCGGACTGCCACCCTGTGTAGGCGCAATTGGTGGTGCTTGTGGCAAGAAACTTTACTTCTTCTTCTAAAAAATTAACTTATTTTCGGGACCAAGAAAACATAAAATGAAATTTTAACCTTAACAAATTGTTTTACTAATAAACATGTGACACCGTAACAGAACTACGCGTGGTGGTAAGAGCAAAGCAACCTTATTTGTGAACAAACAGCGGGAAAAGTTTTCTATGATTAGATAGAACATAAAATATCTATTTAGCATTTGTGTCAACAGTTGAATTGACCAAATAAAAGAAATAAAACTGAGAAATTCGGTAACCGAATTAGCACTGTCGTTACAGAGTTACCAAAATGAAATAAACATTCTGCCAAATTTCCCAAAGCTAATATAAAAAACATTTTACACGTGGTTTACTTTTACGCCGAATAAATAAATATTGGTAAATTAACTTAGATTGTTTGCTCAGCTGTTTAAATAATTTTTGAATTGTTTGGATGCGTAATTAAAGTTTAAGCATGTGTGTCAATAACGGTATCCCGGTACCTTTTAAGGTACAAAAGTGTAAAATTTGTTTCAGAAACTATCACTTTTGATAGAAAGTTAACAAGATGAAGTTCTTCGCCGTCCTACTGATTCTGAGTGCCATGGCTCTAGTTGTCATTGCAGGTACGACGCCCACAACGGAAAATTATGCTGCCGAATTTGAAAGTACAACTGGAGCAACATATACAACAACTACAGCACGCCCATGTGGTGGAAGCAACGGAGGACCTTGCGGCAAAAAATTGTATTTCTTTTTTTAATCAAGGAATAAAGTTTTTGGACTAAAATGTTCTATCCTAGTTTTATAAAAAAGTTATTGACAACAACTCAAGCTATAGACTTTTAGGAAGCCAGTCCTTCATTCCACATTCCACAAGGGAGTGCGACATTGGGACTGGTGCCCATACAAGTTCGTCTGGCTGAGGATTCCCTTATATGGAAATAAACTTTTCGAATCGCGCCAAAAACGGCAGCCAAGTGACCGCAACTACGTGAGGCGCCACTTGCATCGCTGGGGAATTGCATGAATCAGCGTCGCCGAGCGCCGCCAATGAAATGCTAAATAAATTTTCACTTCCATTTTAATTAATTTGAATTTATTTGAAACTAAAATTACACCCAACATTTACACACCGAAGGCGCAAGTGAGCGAAATTGGCCCGCCCGTTTGACTAAAAATAAATTGACAAATATTTTGTTTTTATGAAAAGGTAATGAAAACCACATGTCCTCCATTTTCGTCGTAAATATATCGTAAATACAAACCAGCAATGGAAAATCGTGTGGGTGAAATGCAAAGATGGGCGATCAGATAAGGGCCACCCCTGCACCACAATAGACTCACTTTTCGGGACGCCATATCGATGATCTTTGGCTGGATGGGGATTGCTGTTGAATGATCTCAAGTCGTAATACTTCAGTGGGTGCTTAATACTGATCACTTGATTGCCCGCTAATTACACAATTCCTGGCGGGGCAAGCACGTTTTTTTGGTTTTCTCTTTTCAAAAACACAACACAAACAAAATGGTAAGCCTTTTTTTTCGTAAACAAATTTCAGAATTTTCTTTCGTTTTTGAATATAATTGCACGAGCTGCGGGCGTTGCTTTCGGTTTCTTTGGTACTTGTACTCGTACTGGCCGCGACAATTTCTCAACTCGACTGAGTTGTGTGCGCCTCCTTGCTCTAAGTTTTTATGCAGCCAAATGCTCGCAGCTTATTTCTCAATTTCTTTATTATTATTTTCTCAGATAAATCATACAGCTGGGGATGGTCAAGTAGAACTAAAGATCCCCTTAACAAACTCCTTTTGGCTTTAAATAGTGATCACATTAGGTATAAACTAAGTATTTGTTTTGTTTAGCGTTTATTAGTTAGTCATAAAATATTTCTCTAAAAACATAATTCGAATGAATCACAAAAAATTTTTATTCGTTTCAAAACGAGATTAAGTGACACATTTTTCGAGTCATACATTATCTCAAAGATTTTTTACTTATCACATTCTTGAGTCTTTCAGCAATATTTATACCCGTTACTCGTAGAGTAAAAGGGTATATTGTATTCGTGCAAAAGTATGTAACAGCTAGAAGGAAGCGTTTCCGACCCCATAAAGTATATATATTCTTGATCAGGGTCACTAGCCTAGTCGATCTAGCCATATCCGTCTGTCTGTCCGTCTGTCTGTCTGTCTGTCTGTCTGTCTGTCCGTATGAACGCTGAGATCTCAGAAACTACAAAAGCTGGAAGGTTGAGATTTTCCACACATATTCTTGGGCTTCCTACGCAGCGCAAGTTTATTTCAGACGAGCGCCACGCCCCCTCTAACGCCCACAATCGCCCACTAACGATTTTAAAATGTGCCTGGCGGTCACACCTTTGAAGATTTCCGAGAAGTATAAATGCAATTTTGTTGTGTATATTTATACCTATCGAAATGTAGAAGACATTTTTCAAATCGGACCATTCATTAAAAAGTTATACGCAATCCAAAAATATATAACCATCTCCCTCGCACTCCCTTTAGCCGAGTGACGGGTAATAGATAGTCGGGACACGAACCCGACTATAGCGGTCTCTCTTGTTTTCTTATTCGTAGTAACTAAATAAAAATATTAAATAACAACTTGTTTTTACTAAATGTTTTTAATTTATTAAAAATGTATAATTAGACCTCATTCGTTATAAAGTTTTTAAATGACCATCCGCGTCTGTGAAACGTCTTCAATACATAATTTGTTCAATATTTATTTCGCTTCATGTTTTGTGTTGTGTTTTTGGTATTGCATGTGACGTTGACTGGACGTCGACGTCGACGCTGACGCCGACTGCACTCTTGACTCTGTTTGGCAGGTTTTTGGCGACGCTGCTATAAGGTCCCCCGATCCCCACCCACCGAACACCCCCCGCAGCCCCCTGTAACTCATCGCAAATGTGATTTTAGACGCGCAGCTGATTTTGTTGTCATTCTATTCATAGAACTGGTTGTAGTCTTTTGTGTTTTATTTTATTTTTCAATCCTCTCTGCTGCTGGCCACAATTGAAAGTGCCTTTTGAGAGAATGATTCGCTTTTGGCCATCGCTGGCGGTCGCCCCAAGTGCATTCCGCATTCCGTGTTCCCCCGCTGGCTGACTCACAATTCGCGAATAAAATATGCTAAATCGGGGGATCGTGGAACCCATAAAACTCTTAAATCAAAAGCATATGTACGCATAGTATTCATGTGCGGCCAGTTTAGTCTTTTGAGATGACTAACTCGCTCCGGCCAAATCAGCTGTCATAAATTCCCTGATTTTATTTAGCTCGGGTCGAAAGACTCTCGATGTTTATGTATGTTTCTAGATAAAACTCAGCAAGAGCACGCTAAATATATCGTAAATTTTATTTTGATTACGTGATTTCACAGCTCTAATGTGGCCATAAAAACTAGAGTTAGGTATTCAAAAAATTCGCAGAAATCTTTTTTGATTGAATCGAAAGCAATCTGAAACAATCTTCTTTTACGTCTTTATTTTAACATTTATTTAATTGAAGTTTATTTTTTAGGTTTAAATGAAAAAAAAACATGAAAGTATTTTCTTATTAATCATATATTTTGAAGGTTAGGAAGTCTCGTGACTAATCACAATAAAACTTCAAAACAATGATTATAGTTTGAGTTTTTTTGAAGAAAAATGTTTAGATACAAATTTAATTTAAGCGTAACTGGTACTTATTTATATTCATTCCCATCAAAAATACAAAAAAGAGGACTGGTACTTTATGATACTACTGAACACATAAGTACTGTACAAGGAACCCCATTCATAGAAACTCTTCAGAGAAAATTCCCCTAATTTAATTTACCAATTCATTTTGACGCTGCTTGCGGACGCGTAGCGCGTGTACTTTTAAACAAATTTTATTTGTATTGGTTATCATTATTCATGGTATTTGAGTTTATCCAACAGCTGCTTCGGCTGTTAATATTTCTTGTTGCGCATACGCCCCGTTGCCGACAAGTAATTTCACGTGCCGACGCTCTTTTGCTCCCCCAAATCTGCCCCGCTACTTGGATATTTTCTCCGAAAATAAATGAAATATAATTAACAACAGCTCAGCGGGAACTAAGAAAGGAAATCAACAACAACGAAAATATATGGGATAAAGTTTGTATAGGTGGTTCCAAATTATTAATTTTTTCAAAAGAATACTTGAAATACACCAGCTGTCGATTAATTTGGCAATATAATATTCAAAATAAATATTAGCAAAATAAATAAGGCTTTTAATTTAAATAGATCATATGCACAACTGTTTTATTATAACATTTCGTTAAACAATTGAAATCAAATAAGGGGAAAAGTATAAAACTGACAAAATAGTATCAAATATTCATCAGTTTGTTTTGAAATCCGCAGAAATGAAGTTCCTAACGATCGTTGCCCTTCTCTGCTCCCTGGCTGCCTGTGTTCTTTCCGAAGACGAAACAACAACGCCGAAAATTGATTATTGTTTTGATCAGGCTTCTTTATCTTGGATTGCCTGCTCTGAAACCAGTACTTCGTATCCCAGTTGGACGGACTCTACAACATCTGCACCCACCACAGTGTCACCGCCATGTGATGAAAAGTTCGCAGGACCATGCGGCAAATGGTTTAAGGGTGCCCAGAAAATTTACGTGTTCAACTAAAATCGCTCAAAACTTGTCAACCTCCTTGAATAAATGATTTTGAACAACTAATTGCCCAATCCTCTCAAGTAAACCCCGAAAATAGCGCAGGTGCGCCGGAGCATGCGATCGAGGCTAAATAAAGATCGGAGGCGGGGTTAACATCTGGCGCCCGACAGATAAATGCACTTTACGTTCTCACAGCTAAACATTTAATGGCTCTTTTGCTGGGATCCAGCGAAGAGACCTTTCATCGCCGGAATATATCACAAAATGGCAACGCCTTGTACGCAATATTTCAACCAGAAATTCACATAACATGAAATATTCGGAATCTATTATATTTTCGCATATGTATGTACATATATTTATTTAAAATGTGTAGTGGGCCGTACACTTGCGGCCGCATTATTCATCACTCTTTGCAGATATGTCGTTAATATTTCATCGCGCATTTGCCTTTATTGGAGACATTATTTCACATACTTTGGCATTTTCACTTGCTTTCGAACAATTTCCCCCCGATTATGCACAAGTTGCGAAATTTCACTTGCTATATTCTCGAGTATATATAGAAATATGAGCGACACACGCGTCTACATATAGCTCATACGGATTGCGTATACGCCGCGTATTCCAAAAGAAAATTCGAGACCGCACCGCACACGTCCAAGTCAATGCAGCAACTGAAAATCTTTTCGAAAATGCCAAGACACAACCCACAACTGAGTGTTTTCCCGCTTTTCATTTTTTCCCCCTTAGCTGAATGGCGAGCGCCGAAAGAAATATTTTCCGAATTTCCATGCGCCGTGAGCGATTTCTTTCGACATCTTTCTCGCATCTCAAAACATGACTAAGACAGCGGCTGTCTGGGTCTACCTGCTTTCAATTAGATCAGCGCGACACGTGTGGCCAGCGCGACACTTTTCCGCATGCGACATAAATCACAAATCAGAAATCTGAAAGCGGCAGCAGGATGAGTCAGTCGGACATTCCGGCTGTCTGTCTGCACAGCCTCCTGGCCGAGGGCCAAGAAATTTCCCTCCAGGATGATCAAAATTATCCACAGTCTATATTGATACGAAAAACAACAGATCATTTTGGTCTAAAATTTTGAAAAAAGTATGTCTCTTGTAGGTAATACGTGCAATAAGCAGCGTTTTAAGATCTGGCTAGTACTCCTAGAATTTATAAGGTTAAATGGGTGAAATATATACCATTTCTATTTCCTAAAAAATACTTGACAAGTTTATTTAGTATTCTTAGACAAATGAGCGCCTATAAAGTTAGATAATCTATAAATATTTACGCATCTAATTTAAACATTTGATTTTTTTTTTTGACAAAAGGAATACTATATGTTAAATATTCAAAAAGTGAATATAGTAAATAGACTTTGAACTTCCGATCTTTTGGTTGCCAGTTCGAGCGTTTCGCTCATATCTCATCTTCCATCTACCTTTATTTTATTTACCATTAAAGTGAAAGTTGTTCCGAATGTGTTTAAAATCATTTATTCAGCCTATTATTGTCTGCTGATGGACCTGCGCACACCTGCCATTGCCACTCATCGTTTGTCGCATCCAGTCGTAGTAGTACATGACATCCATAAATATATCCGGAACTCCCTGGGCACAGGGTACAAAAAAGTTGAGTATGCCCACGAGGGTGCCCTGGTGGACCAGGGGACCTCCCGAGTCGCCGTGGCAGGCTCCAATGTTGGCCTGTCGATAGGCACAGATGTGGCCGGGACCCAGCTCCAGATCTTCGTAGGCGGAGAGTAGGTTTGCGCAGGCCTGGCTGCTGAGATGTTGCTGCTGGACGCGCTGCAACTGAGAGGGCAAGCTGCCCGCCGCCGACTGGGATCCCCAGCCGGTGAAGACCAGATCCGAAGTTCCTCGGGGAAAGGGGGAGGTCGGAAGCCCAACCGCCTGAGTTAAGGCATCAAAAACAACACTCTCGTTTAAATGTAGCAGACCAATATCATTCTGGTACTTGGGACTGTCGTAGTTGCAATGAAGGTAGATGGCTTCCGGATAGTAGACCGCTCCTGGTTGTGCATAGCGAACTGTTCCAGTGGCCACCTGTAGTCTGCTGGCCGGATAGCCTTTGACACACAGACCCGCCGTGAGTATCCAGCGATCCGATATGATGGCACCACCGCACAAGTGACTGCCCACAAGGGTTTGCAGCGACACCTGGTAGGGGGCCTCCCCCTCGGCGGCATTCTGGCCACCCACAATGAAGTGCTCCTCCGCGAAGAGTTCAGCGAGGAGGAGGGCAAACAGGAAAATATAGAGAAGGCACCGTGCAAACGCCATGGCTGAAATGCAATCGCAGACTGAACTAGTTTGGTTTTACCCTCTGCGATTTTGATTGAACGATCGTAAAGCCAAAATGGCCTGGCCAAAGGTTCGCCATAAACTGATTTTTTATCTGATTCCGATAAATGGTCAAGAATGGTGGGAACCTGGGGCCTTTCAAAGCTTCATTAGCTGACCAGGCCAGGCGGAACCAAGATGTCGGCGTCAGTGTTTTTGCTCCTTATCCTGGGACTTGCAGGACTCTCCTCCATCACAGCCATTCGAATCAAAGGGAACGACACCAGTGGGTTTTTCAAGGATCAGCGGATCATTGGAGGCCAGGCGGCCGAGGAGGGATTCGCTCCCTATCAGATATCCTTGCAGGGCATCTCGGGCGCCCATTCCTGTGGCGGTGCCATAATAGCCGAGAAATTCGTCCTCACAGCCGCCCACTGCGTGGTGAACGCCAACATTCAATGGCTGGTGGTCGTCACGGGCACCAATCAGTACAACCGTCCAGGAGGCAGGTACTTCCTGGAAGCCATCCACATCCACTGCAACTACGACAATCCCTCGATGCACAATGACATCGCCATGTTGCAACTGATTGAGCCGATTGTGTGGAACGAACGCACCCAACCAATTCCACTGCCCGTGGGGCCCATGCAGCCGGGTGACGAGGTGATCCTCACCGGCTGGGGATCCACCGTGCTCTGGGGCATCACTCCCATCGATCTGCAGGTTGTGTACCTTCAATACGTTCCGCACAAGGAGTGCCTGGAGTTGCTGAGCAACGATCCGGACTGCGATGTGGGCCACATCTGCACCTTTTCGCGTCAGGGCGAAGGTGCCTGCCATGGCGACTCCGGAGGACCTCTGATCAGCAATGGCTACCTCGTGGGGCTGGTAAACTGGGGATATCCCTGTGCAACTGGTGTTCCGGTAAGTGATCTTATAAATAAGATTTCTTATTATAATACACCCAACAAAAATCGATATTAAAGTAGATCGATTTTACATTATTTAAGATCAATTTTAATCTGATATGTGGCCAGGTAAATTTAAACTGGTCGAAAAGAGTACTTCATGTTAAAACGATATGGGTTTTGAATGATCTGAAATTTACATGGCCATATCGATTTTACGGTAACATGCTTTTTTTGGTGTGTATCGTATAACTTGTTATTATAATGTATATATTATAACTGAAATTTCCGTATTCTTGGAAATAAACTCACTTTACCTAAAATATTCTTAAGTAACTTTCCCATAATGATATGGTCAGGTTAATAAACCAATAAATCCAAGATTCGTCAGAATGTTTTTATGGATAGTCCTTTAGGAGCAATAAAGATAACGGAACTCAAAACCAGAGAGAGATATAATTCTAAAACTTTGCAATCATTTCAGGACGCCCATGCCGGTGTATTATACTACTTGGATTGGATACGCAAGGTCATGAGTGGGAATTCGAAATGCACTGGCTTTGGCTCTTACCAGGCCTAGACGTTCCGTGTTCGACGACTATCGTTGTTCATAAAATAGCCCAGTTTATAAGGCCACGATAAATTAGCCCTCGATAAGAACGGGGGCCAGTTAATAAAGTTTTGATAGCGATGAAGTTGACTTTTAGTGTTCAGTACGTGGCCAAACCTTCGAGATGCAGCTGCTGTGGTTAAGTCTTTCGATCCTCCTGCTCCTGCAGCCCCCGAACTTCTGCCAGTCGAAGCGGCTGGTGGGACCCTACGAGCCCACGGGGCCTTCGGGTAGGATTAAGGGCGGCGAGGAGGCCGAGATTGGATTCGCTCCGTATCAGGTCTCCCTGCAACCCATTGTGGGCAGCCATAACTGCGGTGGTGCCATACTGAACGAACAATGGATCATCACCGCCGGTCACTGTGTGGAGAACTATATTCCCGCTCTGGTCAACGTCATCACGGGAACGAATAAATATGCAGAACCGGGAGCCATATATTACACCGAAGAGATCCACATGCACTGTATGTACGATCAGCCCTATATGCACAACGACATCGCCCTGGTGAAGCTCACCCAGAATATCACGTTCAACGAGTTGACCCAACCCATTGATCTGCCGACCAGACCAGTGCGTTCCGGCGATGAGATCGTCTTGACGGGTTGGGGCGCTCAGGAACCCTACGCCGGATCGGTGGAGAATCTGCAGAAGCTGACCCTGGGCTTTGTGCCCCTGGACGAGTGCTACGAGATCTTCAACCAAACCAGCAGCATGGGCGTGGGCCACCTCTGCACCTTTTCGCGGGAGGGCGAGGGCACCTGTCACGGCGACTCCGGCGGTCCGCTGGTCAGCAATGGCCACCTGGTGGGCTTGGTCAACTGGGGAAGACCCTGCGGAGTCGGATTCCCCGATGTGCAGGCCGATGTGTTCTACTATTTGGACTGGGTTCGCAGCACGATCAGCGGCAACGACAGATGCTACTACTAAACTAGAAAACTGTCATGGTTAAATTCATAGAGCAGAGAAAATAAAGAAAAACTTTAGCTTGATGGAAATATTTTAAATGATTTTGTATGGAAATTTAGTTCATTTCGGGGTAGAAAATTGGAAGAATTCAGGTCAATATAATAGAAGGTTTTAAAAATAATGCTTGGGGTTTCAATGTTTAAAATTGCTTCCTTACCTAAAATAAAAATTATATTTGTCCTATTATTAAATGGCATCTTCTGCTCTTGACCTTTATTTAAACATTGACTGGTAGAATTAAAGCTAAGACAGTTATTGATAAATTAATTAGCTTTTTTTAAGCAGAACAGCTGACCAAGTAACTTACTCGAAGTAAAGTATCAAAGCACCAAATTTTCCTTCCCTTAGTTTCTTCCTAGCTTCCATAGTTGCTGGCGTAGCAGTGGCAGCTGGATTCGCATAATCCCGAAATAATTCTCCTGATCCATTCCTTGTAGAAGAACACACTGGCCTGGCTGTCTGGCATGCCGATGGCGCAGGGATATCCCCAGTTGACCAGGCCGTAGAGTATTCCGTTGAAGGTCAGTGGACCGCCGGAATCGCCGTGACAACCGCCCTGTCCTCCGTCGGTCAGGGTGCAGATATGGCAAGCTCCGTTCAGCGGATCGTTGTTCATTATATCCTGGCAGGTTGGGTAATCCACGTGCGTCAGATAGGCCTTCTGCAGCACATCGGGTGTATCGCCCCACAGAACCGTGGATCCCCAGCCCGTGAGGAGCAGCTGCGTCCCGTTGGCCAGCGGTTCGGTGGGCAGTTCCGCCGGTTGGGTGTACTCATTGAACTTGATCGTATCGTTCAGCCGGATCAGAGCAATATCGTTGTAGTACGCCGGGCTGTTGTAGTTGCAGTGTATCCAGTGCTCCTCCACAAAGTACAGGGCATCCGGCTGGGCCCAACGCACAGTGCCCGTGGCCACTCGCAGGTAGGTGGGATTATAGCCGTAGACGCAGTGGGCTGCGGTCAGGACATGTCGCTCGTCGATGATGCAACCACCGCACATGTGATCACCGTACATTCCCTGCAGCGATATCTGGTACTTGGCCTCGCCCAGCTCCGCATCCTCTCCGTTTATCACGCGATTCTGGAAGTTGACTCCTCCCTCACCCGCCGCCTTGGAAATCCACTTCAGCTGCTCTTCACTCAGTTGCGCCGATCGAATGGCATTGCTAGGACTATAGCCACTGCAGACCAGCAGGATCACAAGGATCTCGAATAGACCCCGTCGAACCATTATCGTGAGTGCTTCAAGTTTCAATGCGCCAATTAAACCTGCATACGGGTCGTGATTTTGCTTTTATACTCCAAGAAATCGCTCTTATATCGTATATCGTAAGCCTTAGGGGTTTATCGTAAATCGGATTCGATGTTCCCGCAAGTTGTATCTATGCCATAAAGCCGGGTATCGTAAAAAGATATAGACGCACACTGATTATGATTTTGTGACCGGGCAATCAATGTCAGCGCCGTCATGATATAAGAAATGGTCATTCCCTGGACATTGGCATTGGATATTATCAAAGGCGAGGGCTGCAGCTTTTCAGATACCTTTATTTAAGTACCTCATCAAATAAATTTTTTTATTTTAAAATATATATATTTTTAATTGTAAATATTTAAATTTTAAATTGATTCTTTGATATTTCACTTCTGCAATTATTTAATCTTATTCATCTCTCCTCGAATAGCAGAGCATATTTGATTACTTCGCTCAACTCCCTTTTCATCAACAGCAGTGAATATCATTTCAATCTTATAACGACCAGGCTTCAGTGAAACACTCAAGCCTACTTTGATTTCAAAATAAGATGGTTTCATTACCAAAACAGTCTGTAAAAACAAAATGGGATAATTAATGGTACTTTTTTTAGGTCCTGCATACCCCTGGAACGTTAACGCATTTCTCCTTAATTTCCGCAACATTTTCAACGTTTTTAAAAAAGAAAGTATGTAAATATTGCCTTTCGTCAAAAAAAGATCTGCACACATTCTTTGGGGATAAATTTAGTACGGTCGGCACCCAAGATCCGCGGTCAAAATACTGCATGCTTAGTGCTGCCTGAAAAAGGAGGCTCTTTAAAAACTTCCATGTTGATAAAATATTTGTATTTACATTAATTATGTCCTCTTTTTGGATATTCCACGAGGTCGTCAAATTTCCGCCAAAATATACGCCTTGTTCACTCATGACAAAGGTCGCGTCAGAGAAATTGAACAAGCCATTCATGTTTTGAGATCCTGGAGGCGGTTTATCGCAGTCGGTAAATATCCTTTCGTCCTCCAAAATGAACTCGTAAACAAACTGCATCGAATAATGGTAAATACTAAATATAAGTATTAGTAAATACCATTCTCGGTAATGAGGGCTATCCATTTTGATCCATTCACAACTGTATTTCTGACGAACACGGTGGAACTTTTATAGCTCTCAATAATGGTAATGAATTAAAGCGCAATAAAATTAATGATATATAATTATTAAATTAATTATATGTATTTGTCAAAACGTGCGTTGAACCGACATATTTTAAAATGACCTTATTAAAAATATATATAATTAAAATAGTGTTTGATCAAAATGCATTAGAATTAACATTTAAACAGAAAATAATTCATATTTTAAAAGTAATAAGTATTTCAATTTAAGTCAATTTAAAATGCATCCGAAAATATACTTTACTAAAGCATTTCGCCTTTAAAATTTCTCAGCCCTCGAAAGCATAGTATTATCGTGTGTCAAATTGTGTTAGCAAACAGATCCATAAAAGCATTGATTGCCCATCTAAAAACAGCTAATGACCAAGTGAGTAAGGGGAATATGTTATCAGCGTTGTTTTCATCAATAAATATATATATTTCACATGCCAATTCACACTACAGAAATACAGTTTGATGGAAATTACATCTTCTTTGATCTCTTTTAGGTAACTCGATTTTTGCATCCCTTGGGAGTTCTTCGGATCCATTCCTGGTAGTAAGTAGTGCTGGCATACCTATAAGAAAGTGTATTACTTGAATTTGTTTAGGGGTAATCGAACTTGAACTTACATATCTGGCATGCCCACGCCGCAGGCTCTTCCCCAGTTGACCAGACCCACCAGTGTGCCCTCCCACATCAGCGGACCTCCAGAGTCCCCGGAGCAGGCTCCCTCCCCCTCCCGCGTAAAGGTGCAGATGTGACCGATGTCGATGCCATCGTGGTAGTCCCACCTCTCCCGGCACTCCTCGTGCGATATGATAGTTAGGTTGATGGTCTGCAGTTGCTGCATCGTGGGAAAACTACTTTCCGGAGCACCCCAACCCGTCAGAGTTACAACAGCGCCCTCTGGCGGTTGCTCTCGGCTCAGCTCAACGATCTGGGTGCGATCATTAAATACAATCGATTCGTTGACATGGATCAACGCTATGTCATTGTTATAGACATAGGGAACATCGTAGAGACAGTGGACCAGGGCCTCATCCGGAAATAGAGTTTGTCCCGGTTCAAGGCGATCGTTTGTGCCTACGATAATCCTCAAATCCTCGAGGCTAAAGTCCAGCGCACAATGACCGGCGGTTAAAATCCATTGTTCGTCGAGGATGACGCCGCTGCAGATGTGGGTTCTCCAGGTGGTCTGAATGGATACCTGATAAGGAGCCACCCCATCCTCCGCCTCCTGCCCACCCACAATTCGATTGTCCAGCAGTTTACGATCCAAACGCTTGCCGCGCGTGACGTCAATGGAAGTGCCCAAAAGAAGCAGCCAAATCAGCCAAATTGGCCAAATCAGAGACAAACGGACAGCCATCACGGACAGCACACCAAAAAAGACTCCGGAGACGAGGGACAATGCCGGACAGCGCGAATTAATGACTGGCAATGGAAAATTGTATGACCCAACTGGGCGTTTTTATATGGATTCCATATAAAAACCCATTTTATCGCACACCGTTTCGGGTTTTTTTTTCGCGGACAACTGACCACTGGCCAGCAATCTTTATAGCCAACTAACAGTCGGGCGGTTATCTTTACGGCTTTAAGGATAAAACCCAATCGGTAAAGGCGGAACGTCCAAATTGGAGCCGCTGAACCATAAACCAATGGACTGTGTTTGTGACATGGCAAATCTCGGCGCTCTATAAATGCACCGACCGAAGTTGCTGGTCAGCTCACAATGCCCACGGCCGCAAGGCAAAAATGTATGATGTATGGATCCATTATCGCCCCATAAATGCCATATTATCCAGAAAACTTGACCGAACGCGGCGATAAGATCGGCCATATGAAGTGTAATTTTAAGGTGGTCCGTTGGAGGGTTTTTAGTTTCGATTGTACCGTGCATATACCAATATATACCATGCGAACCAGATGGAACTTTACGGGACTGCTGGCCCTAGCTCTTCTGGCTCTTCAGGAGCCCACAGAAGCATCCATGCGGATGCGAGGCGAATCACTTCCGGGATTGGCCAATGCAGAGAAGCGTCGCTCCAGCGAGTCTGTGCCCCAAGGTCGTGTGGCAGGCGGCACCACCTCCACCGAGGGCAATTGGCCGTGGATTGTGACCCTCCAGAATATCTACTCGTATCACCTGTGCGGCGGCATCATCATTGACCCCAATTGGGTGGGCACAGCGGCCAGTTGTGTAGCTGGTTTGAGATCCAGCAGGTTGCTGGTGGTCACAGGAACCTCGGATTGGTGGGACCTATATGCCCCCTACTACACCGTGGATCAGATCCATGTGCACTGCAACTTCGACAAGCCGCTGTATCACAACGATATAGCCCTCTTGCACTTGGCCACGCCCATCGAGTTTAATGATGTGACCACGAACATAACGCTGGCGGATATCGATGATCTGCAGGAGGGCGAGAAGTTGACCTTCGCGGGCTGGGGCAGCACAGAGGCCATGGGCACCTACGGTCGCTATCTGCAGGAGTCATCGGGCACCTATCTTCCGAATGCCGACTGCCAGGAGAAATTACAAAACTACGACGATGTGGATCTGGGTCATGTCTGCGTCCAAATGGACGAGGGCAAGGGCGCCTGTCATGGGGACACCGGCGGACCGCTCATCGATGAACAGCAGCGCCTCGTGGGCATTGGCAATTGGGGCGTGCCCTGCGGTCGTGGCTATCCGGTGAGTTTTGCACCGATATTTTAAAGTACCATTTGTATTTATTACCCCCCATTATTATCCATTAGGATGTGTATGCGCGAATTTCGTTCTACCACGATTGGATCCGCACCACCATGAACGGGTGTACAATCGGCTAGACGTTGGCCATTTCTTATCGGTGCACTGAGGGAAATATGATGTACCCAGCTGGCGATGGATTTATTAATATGTATATCGAGAATAACGATTAAATGTGATTTTATCATTTGGCAATGCATATATTTTTTTTATTCTGTGGATTTTTGGTTTTATATGATCTGGAATTTCCAGGTCGTAATCGTCCAAAAAAGTTGACCTAACATTTTGGGGGAAGAAGTCTAAAATCCATAGAGATTTTGTGCTATTTTAAAGTAATTACACAGGTACACAGCCAAAAATTTCCACGAACCATTTCAAGTTTTCCATGATATTTGGGTGCTCCTGAGTAAAAGTCCCATACAAAATTATTTTCCATCACCTACAGGTTCCGCGGTATAGCTAAGAATACAAAAAACCGATGTTTGCCGACATTTTGAATTACGTGGCCTATATAATTGGACCAACCTTTATTATTTTCGGTAGGACCTACTCTCAATACATCAAGGCATTCCTAAAAAATAGTCCCCATTGTGAACCATTGCCCATGTCCTTGGAATTCGACGCCAAAGTTGAAAATCCCAAAATTGTAGAGATTTTTCTGATGGAAAAACAATTCTGAGGATTAAATCTTGAATGGAAGTAATTTTAACTATTCATTGTATCTATTGTTCATTGTATGCTTTAATTTCGGTTTAAAGCGTTTTCATGAGAACATTTTATTGGATTTCTTATACTAATAAAACCGATTTTTTTATTTCATTATCTACTCCTAAATGTTGTCAAATTTTGAATAAGTCATGGCAACCTCTAGAACTAAGAAACTAAAATACGTTCACTGAACATACACAGAGAAATGTAAATGTTTACTCCCATTCTGTAGGATGCCTTGACTTTTTTAAAATTTGACAACATTTAGGAGTAGATAATGAAATAAAGAAAACGGTTTTATTAGTATAATAAATCCAATAAAAAATATTCTCATGAAATCGCTTTAAACCGAAATTAAAGCATACAATGAACAATAGATACAATGAATAGTTAAAATTACTTCCATTCAAGATTTAATCCTCAGAATTGTTTTTCCATCAGAAAAATCTCTACAATTTTGGGATTTTCAACTTTGGCGTCGAATTCCAAGGACATGGGCAATGGTTCACAATGGGGACTATTTTTTAGGAATGCCTTGATGTATTGAGAGTAGGTCCTACCGAAAATAATAAAGGTTGGTCCAATTATATAGGCCACGTAATTCAAAATGTCGGCAAACATCGGTTTTTTGTATTCTTAGCTATACCGCGGAACCTGTAGGTGATGGAAAATAATTTTGTATGGGACTTTTACTCAGGAGCACCCAAATATCATGGAAAACTTGAAATGGTTCGTGGAAATTTCACAAAGTTTAATTTTGTGTTCCTGTGTTATTTGCTTGTTAATACTCAAAAACATTTCAGTATTCCAAATGGGTAAACAAGTTGATATTAAAAGCTAACAGTTTTAGTATAAAAACTTTATGATTTTTGGAGTTTTAACGCTTTTTGCTCGGACTTAAAACTTTTAAATAAGGTGTCTTGTGTAAACCTTTCTCCGAATGTAATTCGTATTTGTTTGATGGATAAATATTTGTTGTTATCATCACATTTACCACATATCTCTAATTAAAATATATTATATATATTATAATTGGTTTTTTATACTAAAAAATTACTAAGCGTGGGGTTAACCCAATGAATACAAAATTATTTGTGTGATAAGATTCATGGTGTTTTGAACCAAAACAAAAAAATCAGTAAATCAAAGGTATTCCAGCAAACACATCAAATATTTCTTAAATGTGTTCCTAAATTTTTCCAAGTGTAGGCACAGGTACTCATGATTTGTGTTGCTGATTTAATAAAAATTATGGGATTTTTACGACGGGGAGTTCTTGGTTTTTGCTCAGGCTGACCATGATTGAGATTGCACAACCTTTATGGCAGATCATTAATATCACGCCGGCTATCTTATATCGTACACTGAATATCGTATATCGGAGGTTAGTTGATTTTCGGCTGCAACCCCGTGCAATTAGTCCAACTTCAACTGTTCGTCAAAGATGTCTTACGAAATCAAAACGGTCTCTCTGGTCGTCCTCGTCCTGCTGGCGATATCCTTTTCGGAGGCGAGTCTTCGTCACCGCGCTGTTTCCTCAGAAACTCCCGCGTCCGCGGATAAGTTCAGCTCCCGAATTATTGGTGGAGTAGAATCTGATGTCTCGGCGGCTCCCTATCTAGTCTCGATTCAAAACAGCTACGGGTATTGAACTTGAATTTTTTAAATCTCACTGATAGTACAGTAATACGCAGGATTTTCTGATAGTTTTGTGATAGAGTCTATTAAGACTAAAATCCTTAGTGTGCACAGAAAAAAAGTATTTAATTTTTAGATGATTTTTACAATTATAAAGTTTTCTTAAACGTTTAAAATTTATGAAAATAATTGTTCTTAGATTTCTAAAATTGTTCTTAATGTCTTTTTCAACCTAAAAAATTGTGGTTCAAAATTTTAATCTTGATTTTACAAATTTTGAAGTTTAATTAACAAGAGAAATCCTACCATATAGTTTTTCCGCACTATTTGAGGTATTGTAAATATTTATTAGTATTACTTCACATTTGTTTTTAAATTTAAACCTATATATTATTTTCTAACCATACTTTCATCCTTTATAGCAACCACTTTTGCAGTGGTGCAATCATTGACGATCAGTATGTGGTGACCGCTGCCAGTTGCGTGGCTGGATTGCGTAAAAACAACGTGAAGGTGGTCACCACCACCTATAACAATTGGGGACAGGCGGGCTGGGAATACTCCGTGGAGGACATCATTATGCACTGCCAGTTCGATCAGCCGATGTACCACAATGACATCGCGCTGATCAAGACCCATGCACTATTCGATTACGATGATGTGACACAGAATATCACCATCGCTCCCTTGCAGGATTTAACTGAGGGCGAGACCCTGACCATTTACGGCTATGGTAGCACGGAGATCGGCGGAGATTTCTCCTGGGAACTGCGCCAACTGGATGTGACCTATGTGGCGCCGGAAAGGTGCAATGCCACCTACGGCGGAACGGGAGATCTGGATCTGGGTCACCTGTGTGCCGTGGGAAGGGTGGGTGCGGGAGCCTGTCATGGCGATGCCGGAGGACCCATTGTCGATGGTAGGGGTCGCCTGGTGGGCGTTGGCAATTGGGGCGTGCCCTGCGCCTACGGATTCCCCGATGTCTATGCCCGCTTGAGCTTCTACAACAGCTGGATTACATCCACGATCAACGGTTGTGCTATTAAACTTTAAAGTTGTCAATAAAGTTTTATAACAATTGTGGTAAGATCTTATTTATTAGATATGGTTAGGATTTATCGTCAATGTTGCCATAGATAACGCCTCAAATTATGTCAAAGTCCAAAATCCACAATTTAGCAAATTAAATGGGAAATAAGTGATTAATTGAAAATCTTGATAATCCCTAGACCAGACGTCTACATGTTGTTGTAATTGTGAGTGATAAGTGAGTTGTCAAAGTTTCATTGAAGCCATAAAAGGCACCTGGTTTTTCAGAAACGGTATAATACTCTGCAAAAGCTGTATATTTTCCTGCTTTTAGACGCCCAAACTTGGTGAGTTTATTTTATCAGTGTTTGATAAAAAAAATTATAAAAAAAAGTAGGGGATTTAAATTACGCCTTTATCTAAATTATTTTTAAATAAGCCCATTAATTCTGTTTTGCGATTGTCCTATCTATAAAGTTATATATTTACTTCTTGAGAACTTGTTTACCCTTAGGGTATGCCGACTTCTGTATCTTTAAGGGGCCTTCAATCATTTCGCAATTATTCCACCCGAATTTTGAGTAAACTTCCATTCGATTGCGGCCCTATCAAGCGACGGCGTCTGAAGATCTCCCTCGCTACGAACAAAGTCCGTACCCATTGCGTATGAGTAATCTTATTATGGTCGTGTGCTAGTTGTCTATCACTCACAGTCCAAATGGCAGTAGAATTCCCCCCCTATCAGGTACCATATATATTGGCTATGGTAATTGTCATTATCGAAGCTTCCCTCGAACTGAGCGGGCTTATCGCAAAACATATTCAAAAGAAACTCTCGGCGAGGTGATAAGGGGAATTTTGCACAGACCGCGGGACTATAAAAGCGATTGCAGTGCCAAAAAGTGGGCAAACCGTTTACGGAAGTTGAAGACAGCGCAACACTAGGAAATATTATTTAATATTAAAAAAGAAAGAGATAACTACATCAACATGAAGTGCCTGGTTCTGATTAGTCTGCTGGTGATCCTGTCGCAGTGTTCGGCGAAGAGTGTTAAAAGACCTCGTCTTCGTCATCAGTTAAACCATCATTTGGGCCACGTTAAGCCCGAGACCCGGGTGATTGGAGGCGTGGATTCACCCACTGGCTTCGCTCCCTACCAGGTTTCCATTATGAACACCTTTGGCGAGCATGTCTGCGGTGGCAGTATCATTGATGAACATTGGATCCTCACCGCCGCCCATTGCATGGAGTGGCCCATTCAGTATCTGCTGGTTATCACCGGCACCACGGACTACACAAAGCCTGGAGCGTCGTATGTTGTGGATAAATCGAAGGTCCATTGCAGCCATGACAAGCCGGCCTATCACAATGACATCGCGCTGATTCACACGGCCAAGCCCATAGTTTTCGATGCGATGACCCAGCCGATTCGCTTGGCCAGCAAGGGCAGTCTGCCCAAGGTGGGCGACAAGCTGACGCTGACCGGATGGGGCAGCACCAAGACCTGGGGCAGGTATTCCACCCAGCTGCAGAAGATCGAACTGAACTACATCGAGCACGACAACTGCGAGTCGCGGGTGCGAAACATCAATTGGTTGAGCGAGGGACATGTGTGCACCTTCACCCAGGAGGGCGAGGGATCCTGCCACGGCGATTCCGGAGGTCCTCTGGTCGATGCGAACCAAACCCTCGTCGGCGTGGTCAATTGGGGCGAGGCCTGCGCCATTGGCTATCCAGATGTTTTCGGTTCGGTGGCCTACTACCACGATTGGATCGTAACGATGATGACCGATGCTGGAACCGCCTGCTAAAGGTCGAAAAAAGTCACCCGAGGGGGTACAAAAGCCAAAAAAGCCAACGAACAAAAATAGCACCTGCCATTTAATGGCTCCTGCCTATTGATCAAATTAGCCAGTAAATTTTATCACTCACATGATATCATAGATATCATAAATTATTTATGAACAAATAAATGAGCAATTACGCTTCACTTTTAACTTAAATTTATTTCATGACTTGTTTTTCACTTTTACCAGACGTCTATTATTGGGATTTAAAGGGAACAACAATCTTTGGGACTCTCTTTTAAAGAAATCCCCCACTTAAAGTTGTCCAGATTATTCCACACGCCAGTCATTCTTACGATCAATCATGATATTTAGTTCGCAGAACTGAGTCAACAAACAGGTAAGCGCCAGTTCGGAAGAAGTGGGATATCAGGAAGTATTGGTTATCACCTGTTATCACCAGCGCTGTTATGATGGGTAATGGAAATAAACAATATTTGGCTAAGAAGTTTTCCAGGAGATTCTGTCCCTCTTAAACTGTACATATTATATTAATCTTGGAAATGTGAAATCTATTATTTTTATTTCAATGTAGGTATTTTAGAAATGGTTCAAAGCTCTATTTATTTAATAGGCACCCAATAACCTTACTTTAATTCCCTGTTATGTACATTCAAGTTTATTTGATAGCTAAAGCCACCCCACTTATCAGCCTAACCTTGTTTTATGCCAAGTGCCAGTCTAGAATTGAGTATTATTTACCAACTCAGCTGGACTTTTCCAACCAGATATTGACTGAAGAACGTGACTGAATTGCTAATTGTATGCCCCATTTTACCTATAAGAAACATTTCCCGATGGCTGTAGAGTTCAGTTCCTTGAAAGACAAGCAGTCATTATGTGGTTAATGCTGCTACCATTAGTTTTGTACAGCTCCTGTGTGACTAGTCAGATCCTCTATCCTCCGCAATATACCAATAATCGCATTGTGGGCGGCGAGGAAGCCGCAGAGGGCGTGGCACCCTACCAGATTTCCCTGCAGGGATCGGGAAGTGGATCGCATTCCTGTGGAGGTGCGATTATTGATGAACGTTGGATTATAACGGCGGCCCACTGTACAAGAGGCAGACAGGCAACGGCTTTTCGAGTCCTCACAGGCACTCAGGATCTTCATCACAATGGCTCCAAGTATTACTATCCCGACAGGATTGTGGAGCACAGCAATTATGCGCCTCGCAAGTATCGCAATGATATAGCTTTGCTGCATCTGAACGAGTCGATTGTGTTTGATAATGCCACCCAACCGGTGGAACTGGATCACGAGGCTTTGGTTCCCGGCTCCCGACTTCTTTTAACTGGCTGGGGAACCCTTTCTCTGGGCGGCGATGTTCCCGCCCGTCTGCAGAGTCTGGAGGTCAACTATGTGCCCTTCGAGCAGTGTCGAGCGGCCCACGATAATAGCACTCGGGTGGATATTGGCCACGTTTGCACCTTTAACGATAAGGGACGCGGCGCCTGTCACGGCGACTCAGGTGGTCCTTTGGTGCACAATGGCAAGCTGGTGGCCCTGGTCAATTGGGGACTGCCCTGCGCTAAAGGTTATCCAGGTAATAAGATTTATAGTTTATGGTAATATTAAAATATATTTAAACTTTTACCCCTTTTCAGATGCCCACGCTTCCATTGCTTACTATCATGACTTTATACGCACTCACCTCAGTCTATCGAAAACCGACAGCTCCGATGATAATAAAGAGGAGGAGATGATCATTGTCAAAGATTAGGGACTAGGATTAAATTGAGTGTACTTTATCTAGGCTGATAAGGTAATTTCTCTGCAGGAAAATTCTAGTAAATTATAAAAACATGTTGAAAATAAATCTACAAGCTTTTTTTATAAATTTAATTTACATTAATAAAAACAGAAAATATATATAGGAAGCCTATCCTATCTTGCTGATCGAAACAAGCTGAAAGTTGACAGTAATAATGTAGAAATAAATTTCACAAACAAAACACAAGACACTAATAAATTGACCAATTTTGGGAAAGGGCGAACCGCATTTCAGAGAATCCTTGAGATGAAGTTCCGCAGCAATGGAAGGACTCTCTGGACTTTGGCAAGGAGCTCGGTTAGGCAGCAGACTCGAAATGCGGTCGTCAAAAAAATGCTAATCGCCAGCTTTAGCAGCAGTTCCAAGGAAAACTTAAACTCGGATCAGCCCAACCTTCTAAAGTACCACGTTTTACCGCTCGAAGAGACCCTGAAACGCTTTATGACCACTGTTGAACCCCTGCTGTCTCCCGAGGAGATGGCCAAACAGAAGGATATAACTGCCAAGTTCTTGAGGAGGGATGGTCGCGATCTGCAGAAGCTCCTGGAAGAAGTTGGCCGCAAGGAGAAGAATTGGTTGGCCCACCGGTGGTTGAAAGTTGCCTACCTACAGTTTCGATCACCGGTCACCGTCTTTGTGAGTCCCGGCATGACATTTCCCCGACAATGTTTTGAAAATACCCACGAATTTGTTGACTACACGTCCAGAGTTATCTTCGGATTGGGTGAGTTCAACGACCTGGTGCATGCCAAAAAAATTCCGATTGTTAAGATGGGCGGAAAGGAATTGGACAACAGTCAGTTTGGCAAGGTATTCGGCACATGTCGGATACCTAGGAGATCTACCGACGACATCGTCTATAATCCGTGCTCCGATTATGTGGTGGTGATCTACAAGAATCATTTTTACCAACTAAAAATCTATGATGAGAAGGGAAAACTTATCATCGCTCCCTGCCTGGCTGTTCAGCTGGAGGAGATCATGTCGAAGGAATCGAAATGTGGAGTTCCCTATGGTATTTTGACCACCGACTCGAGGGACAACTGGGCCGAGGCCTACGAACATCTCTCGAACACACCTCGAAACAGTGACGCCCTGAAGACCATTCAAAATGCTCTATTTACCGTCTCTCTGGACAAGTGTACCTCGCCAAAAGAAGGTCAAGAGGACGAAGAGTTAATTCTATCGCTGATCCATGGAAATGGTAGTAAAGCCAACAGTGCCAATCGCTGGATGGATAAAACCATCCAGTTGGTGGTGAACCCGAATGGAAACGTGGGATTCACCTACGAGCACTCGCCAGCCGAGGGTCAGCCCATCGCCATGATGATGGACTATGTGGTGAAGAAGCTGAAGGATGATCCTAGCTACGGGGAATGCGGTTCGGAGGATTTTACGCCGGCGAAAAAAATACAGTTCTGTGACGTTACTAAATGCGTTGAGCAATGGCTGATGATCGCTCAAAGAAACATTGATAAGCTGGCCAGGGCGCTGCAAATTAAGGTTCTTCGGTTCGAGGGCTATGGAAAGGATTTCATAAAGAAGCAGCGTTTGGGACCGGATAGTTTCATTCAGATCGCCCTTCAGTTGGCCTTCTTTAAGCTGCACCTTGAGCCAGCGGCGCAATATGAATCGGCACATTTGCGCATTTTCGATGGCGGTCGAACCGAAACTATACGTTCGTGTTCCAATCAATCCTTGGCCTTCTGCCACTCCATGCTGGATCCGGGTTCCCCGGTTCAAGAAAAGGCTGAAAAGCTTCGAGAGGCGGTGATGTGCCATCAGATGTACGCCAAGTTGGCTCTTCAAGGCAGGGGAGTCGATCGCCATCTGTTTGGACTAAAGCTCATGGCCGTGGAGAACTGTCTGCCCATTCCAGAGTTTTTCACATCGCCTGGATATGTAAAGTCCACTCACTTTCGCATGTCGACCTCCCAGGTGGCCACGAAATATGACGCTTTCATGGGATATGGTCCCGCCGTAGACGATGGATACTCCTGCTGCTATAATCCACGTGAAAACGATATTATTTTGGCCATATCTGCGTGGCGCCATTGTCAGGCAACAGATCCCTTTAAATTGGCCAAGAGCCTTGCGCAGTCCTTTTCTCAAATGAGAAATGTTCTGGAAAATTGTCCGGCCTCGACTGAAAAACCCCTGCAACCTAATTGCAAGCTATGAAAATGTTTTTTTAAAGTCCACATTCATATTTTAAATTTAAGTATTTCATACTATAATGCGATTAACATAATATAAACCTAAACTTTAAGATTTATAGATTTCATTCAATTAATTAAGAGACTTTGGTGCACCCAAAAAAAAATCGATATGAAACGTAGATCGATTTTACATTATGTAATATCAATTTTAACTTGATATGCAGCCATGTAAATTTGATATGGTCGAAATGAGTATTTCATGTAAAAACGATATGGATCAATTTTACGGCGACATGATTTTTTTTTGTGTGAAGCATCCCCTCTATAAAATTCATCAAACTTTTTTTTTTTAAATTGTATTTTAACTGGCAATTACTTAAAACTAAGAGGTATTGATGACAGCTAACTAGAACTGGATGTGACGGGCAATGAAGAATACTTAGAACTGGTTCGCGGGCAGATAATGATTGCCGATGGGACCGACGCCGGAATTTCCTGCGCCATTATCCACAAAGTGGCCCTCTGACTGCTGCTGCTGCTGCTCCTCCTCCTCCTCCTCTGGGGGATCCAGGGATCCGACCACCGAGGTAATGGGGGCCACTCCCTCGTCGGTGATGGTGGAACTGCCTCCCAGGGTGTCGTACTGCGACTGAATCTGCCGCTGGGCATTCAGCGCCTCTTCGGGAGTGCGGTACTTGATGAAGAACACCTCCGGCTTGTTGATGTGCTGCGGCGTCTCGGCAATGGCGTCCTGCAGATCGGAGGCGGTCGTCTTCTTGGCCAGCACATAGACCACCGTCTTCTCCTGCTTGAGGGTCTTGGCCAGGTTAAGAGCCGCGGCACGGTTCGTTTGCGACGGCGTCTTGACGAACAGCACATTGTAGTGGTTGCGTGGCTGCTGGGCCAACTGGTTAAGCTCATCCTGCACCTCATCCTCGGATTCCTCGGGCGCCGAGTGGATGAAGAAGTTCTTGGTCACAATGGGACGTTTGGGAATCCTCACCCGCGGGCGGGCACGTCGCTGCTGCTGGACGGGAGCAGTTTGGAAGTTGATGGGGAAGTTGGTGGGCATGGGGAAGGAGCCGGTGGTGGGACGAGGGGCGGGATGGGATGGGAACTGGCCACCACCGGGTGGCAGATAGGGCAGTGGAAGAGGTGGCAGCACGGGGTGGGAGGATTGCTGGGGCTGGAGTTGCTGCTGCAGCTGCTGGTTCAACAGATGGGCCACCACAGGCGGCTGCTGTTGCTGCTGCTGGATGCGGTTGTAGTTGTAGCCCGCCTGGGTCAAACTAATGTCAGCCTGGCTGAGGCTCAGGCACATGGCCCCCACGAGAACCGTCTGAAAGAGAAGTGTTCATTATAATCCAAAATCCATTTAATCCTGGGCTAAGGGTAATCCAACGCACCACAAATATCTTCATGCTGTCGCTTGGTTGGGTGTCTCTCTGCTGGTTAGCTGTCTTTAGCCGGATGCTCCCTCGCTGTCCGAGTTTCTTATTGCTGTGATGATGGGTCAACCGGGCACCGTGCCTTTTATACCAATCCGCAGCCACAACTTGTTTATAATCGGAAACAAATCGTGAAACAGCAGCCAACACAGTTGCAACAGTCGAGAGGGGTCATAAAACATTTGTTATGCATGGCGAAGAGGTTGCTAGCATCGGATCTATCTGGCTGGGTGGCAAGTGGGCTTTTGTATTAGCTTTACAAGGGGTTCCACGAAAGTCGAGCGAGTGGAGATCTTAACAATGGGCAATCGTTGTAAACTAGTTGGTATAGTTGTTTACAACTTATTTCGAGTAAATGTATCATTTGATTTACTTTTTAACTTTTAGGCAGATGTACTTTAACTTGAAATATAGCAACTTTTTTACCAAATCGTATACAAAACATTTACTCACACTTCAGATTTATGAAATAAAGTACCAAATAGGTATGTAATAAAATAAGGTTCAGATTTATGCACATTTATTAGCTGTTCGAATATGACATCTCTGGAATGTATTATAATTATTATCTATTTACAAAATAGTTATCTAAAAATATGTTTTTATTTTTCACAAAAATATGACCAAATATCATGGAAATTAAGTAAGTAAAATTATTTTGTTTACACATTGCATATTATAAAATTATTAAGATATCCCAGCCACTTCGCCATGGTTGCCAAGTAAACAATAAAAGCCTCGTTTAAATTAATACAAAAGTATTGTTTTTTCTTGGCAATTTTTGCAGGGCAGTTGAATGCCGCTGAGCGATATGTAAATATCGATGACGAAGATAGGCGACGAGGTTACAAGCTCGACTTAAAATGCACTTTTGTCCATAGGACCATTGTCTCTATTTTGTTTTATTGTTCGAAACTTGAGCTATCAAATGGAAATTGAAAATTGTTTATTCGGGGACTAGAGTATTTCGCATCTGTTTTAGTCTGGCCCAAGGTCTAGGTCTTTGTGTCCATTCGATGGGGCGTAAATATTGTCAGCTCTAAATGTGCCAAATTGAGACAAAATGCTCGTATATTTGGATTCGGAATAGGTATCACTTTTCGAACTAAAGAAGTGAAGGTAAATCACCCGATAAAATCGAAAGTATATCTTGTCAATTGGATATGCCCAGCTTCCAGCGGAAATTGGTAGTCATAACAAACACAAAGCAGATGCATACGGAATGAGCTAAGATATAGGGCCTTATAGGGCTAATTGCTTTGGGGTGAATGCTGTATGCTGTAATATCAAAACGGAGATAGGATGGTTTGCCTATTCCTTTCCAATTTTGACTTATTCACTCACCCACTTGAGATATATGGCTATACCTTGTGCATTCAACAGAGTGCATCTCATTAGCTGGGGGGAAATTCTGCCCACAAATCAAAATAAACCAGCCAAGGGCAACTTGGCCCCTAGATGATATGTTAGCCCACATTTCTAACGGCTGTTATCTGTCCAAAAAGAAAAAACAGGTTTTCTACTTTCTCACGCCAATTTCGTGAGCCATGAAAAGGCAGTGAAATGAAACCGAAACTTTGTTTATTTTTGGCCGAAATCATTTGTTTATGTGGGGGGCATTAAAGATGCAAAGATGTGTCAAAGAAATATACGATAAATTTCCGTTTGTAATGGGAAACCAAAATTACTTTGTCATTAATTAATAGACCCATATGCATTAGGACGAAAGTAGCAACCAAAAAAAAAACAAAATACAAAAGTTTAAATGGAAATGAAAATGGAATCCGACCGAAGCAGAGCCCTGTGATTAATGGGTGCCAACTATTGCCGCACTTTGCATATTTTATGCAAAGCGAATAAGTTGCTAAAATCTATTGAATGCAAAACACTCGGTGCACAGATTAGCCAAAGCATAAAAGTGAATGTTGACGGGACACAAATTATGATTTGCGTAACAAAACTATTTTATTTTAATTTATTAATTCACACCATGAGAGATTTGGACATAGGCGGCCTTTGTCCCCTTCTGTGCATAGCATTAGCAACCGAATCCGACCCCAAACCCTCCATCCGTCGGCAAATCCGCATCCCAAATCAGTCACATCGAATTGATTGGGCGATAAATGCCCCTGCGAGGCCTACCATTCGGTGATAATAAATGCATTTTTAATTATTGGCCTGAAAATGGTACAAAATTAATTATGGGACACCCCGAGTTCACAACTATTTCGGGATGCCCACGAAACCCAAGATAAAACCACCATTTTTATAATAAGCATGTGGAACGAATCGTCTCTTGTCTTTCCTGCTTTTAAGCTGACAGTTTTACATGGGCTTTGCTGTGGCACAAATATTGACAAATGATAGAGGATCGATATCCGAAACCACTTAAGTGGATGATTTCTTATAAAAATCGAAAAGAGCAGACCAACATAACTTATAATAAAGGTTACTAAAAACGGAAAAAAACAAAAGCTAAATACAACATTTTTATTGTAAATTTGAGATTTATTGGTTGATGGGGACACAGCCCCATACGATGATAAATAAATCTTCTGAAAATATAACTTGGAGGTAGTAAAATCTAACTAGAATAATATTTTCATATTAAAAGCCATTTATACCCAATGAAAATTAAATTCACTTTTCAAACATTTTATTGACAGTAAACTGTAAACTATTCAATTTATTGATTAGATTTGCGTTTTACTCAAAATTCAGTAGATAATTATTCGATCCGGCTTATGCAACACGCGTGCTATACGAACTCAATCCATCGGTCTCACAGAAATGGTTGTTAAAATACTTGCAGCGGGCCAAGACAATATTTTTGGCCCACACGCATACACGTAGTACATAGGTCTAAAAAGCGTGGTAATCATAAGAAGTTAAGGGACAAATGCTGTCGAACAGGTTGAGTGACTTTGGCCCTCTCACAAATTGCAATTCACATTCAGTTATCGAGTTCGATTTTAGTAATTCAACAAGTGTTCAATTAGTTATTCTAGTTGTATGTATATATATTTAGTATATGTTTCAGGCGTAATTGTATGTATGTAGATAATGTGTAAACTGTATTGGCGTTACAATGAGTTCCTCTCTTTAGGATCTAATAATCAAACAGCAGAGCAGAATTTGTTAAGTACAAAGATCCGCCATTCGCTTTGTAAGTTCTCTAAAATAATTATGTTTCCGATACACTCTCTATATATATATATATGTAGTTTTTAATATCACGTTCATCGTTTACACTTTTTGCTTGTTCTGTTACAATGTTTGTTCTGATTCTGCACATCTATTTCTTCTGATCTCGATTGGAGTTTTAAACTACGTTAAGCCGATTTAACAATAGATATAGATATCTGTAAATATGTATTTTATATATAGAGCGAGACAAAGTAACCGACACTGGTGAAATTTTGAAAATTCCGAATGGGGACAATCATCTTGCGTTGAAAAGCCTATAATTTAGACATAAGACATAGATATTAAACACGCTTCCGGCTTCGATTCAGCGTTTCCTCCCGGATTATCTACCTCCTCACGGTTCGTGGCTCCGGACGAACTTCTCCAGCTGCCTATGAAGCTGATTGTGGTAGGGTATCCGGTGTTTGCTGATCGCCGTCGCCGCCAAACACTGCAGCGTCACAAAGTTGAGCAGCGGAATGGTGCTGGTGGGATTGGAGGCAATTAAGTCGTAGGGCCGCTTGTCGGCTCGATTCGGCTGATCGATGTCCGCTCCGCACTTGAGCAATAAATGAACAATCTGGGGGGAGAAGATGATTTAATGCGAGGCTTATACATTGGGAGAAGACTAAATGGCTCACTTACCTCATTGTCATAATTGTAGGGCTGACAGGCTACGTGCAAGGGCGTGGATTTGGCTTCGTTCTTGATGTTGACATCGACACCGCACTGGATGAGCAGCTTGATGACATCCGCATTGGGGAACACAGTCTTCTAGGGATGATAAAAGGGACGTTCAAAAAACCGCTCAACTGGCAATGAAAGCTACGCACATCGGCAAAGTTGTCGTCAGTGATGTAGCCGCTCTTGATGACGTTCAGCCGCGAGGCGCAGAGATGGAGCATTGTGTCGGCGGTGCTGGCACTACGTAGATTGCCCACAACCACCGTCTCGTGAACCGCCTGGCAGATGAGCTTGTTCTGCGCCTCTGTGTGGACGGTATTGATCAGCAGATAGATAAGGTGGGCCAGACACCTCATCACCCGGTCGTAGTTCTCCTGCTGCCTCCTAAACACGGGCCTCAAGAGCAGCAGGTGCTTCACCACAATGGCGCTTTCCGCCAGCGTTCGAAAGACGCCGAGCACATCCTCGAACCTGGGCAGCACCTTGTCCTGATGCACAAACCGGGCTCTGGCATCGCTTCTTATGTGACTCGAGTTCTGGACATGCAAGTCCAGCATCAAACGCACCAGCGCCTGCGCCGCGAAACAAGTTTCAAAATGCAGAATGGACCAGTTGGACACGCGCACTTCGAGCAGGAACCGCCACAGGTCGATGCAGCGCTGCAGCTGTAGCGAATCAGCATACGAGGCGCCCCTGTAAGAAAAGAAATAAAAGTTTAAAAATGTTTTATACCCCTTGTGTTTGATAAACTCACCTAAATGTCAACCGAAACAGCATATCCTTATGGGTCAGTCCCAGAACCCGCTCGCAAATGAGCAGGCTTTGGGTCCGCATCGCATCCATATCGGTGGCAATATTGTCCAGTTCCTCCAGCGTACTGAACTCAACTGCGTTCTCGTAGGCAGTGCGCAACGGAACCTGCGGCTTCTTCTCTATATACGGCGAATATGCTGCCCGTATGTGATGCGCCATGCGCCAGTGTAGAATGCACACCCGCGACTCGTTGTGCTCGTCCAGGAACGTGGATCCCATCAGCTCGTGAGCCTCCGCCAACCTGGCAGGCAAATAGTTCAGCTCCTTCTTCAAGAAGTCGAAGATCTGGTGAGCTCCCTTTAAGCAGGCAGTGCGAAGGGCATCGTCTCCGTAGCGACTCTTGGCATACGGGTCGGCGCCCTGCTCGATTAACATCTTGGTGGTATCCAGCCGGTGCTCCTGGATTGCATAGTGGAGCGCCGTCTTGTCCTGAATGTCCCGCGCATTAATGTCCGCTCCCTTTCGCACTAGATACAAGCACAACTGCACCGACTGCACCGAGTTGATTAGACATGTGCCGCCATTTATGTTGGGTCGCTTGATGTCCGCTCCGTTTTCGACTAAGAACTTGACTATAGAGTTAAATGAGAGATTTTTATATTATTAAGGAGATTATAAATTGGGGTTCTGTTGATTTATTAAGTAAAATGCTATCATATCTATGTTCTTTAGTTCTCAATATACCTGTATTTTAATGCAAGATATATAAAACTTTAAATACTAAATTGAATAACAGAAGAATAATCATAGAATATATTAGCCCGATCTCGACTAATTCAATAGAAATGGAACACCTCCAAGCAGCTTTCACTGACCTACTTTAATTTGTTACTATGCGAATTCTCATTGGCTAAAATTTTCAAACTCTATTCATACTTTGCTAATCAGAGGCCATTTCTAAAGGAGCATTTATACGATTTGTACATTTCTATCGTTGGTATTGAAAGAGAACAAAAGTTTAAACCGTGTGATTAGACCACCTGTTCAAGAAATTTCTTTGTGGTGAAAGGAATTTGTTGGCGCAGATTATTTAAAAGTGGGGGTGTGTACAATCGCAAAGTTTGAATTAAATGGACAAATTGCGTGTAAAGGAATTTAATTGGAATCAAAGGGGAATGAGGATAAACATCCCCAGGAATGCTTCGATTTCAAAACAACAAGACTAGAACTTAGGCAAGCTTGAATGTGAATCAATAATGCATGGCCCTGACTCACTTACGAATGCCTTTACTACTTTACTCTACTACAAAAGAACAATAATAATTACCGATATCAACGTGGGTCATGTAGCAGGCACTCCTCACGGGCGTCGATCCCGAATCGGAGGTAGCATTGATGTCGCATCCGATCCGCACAAGGTACTTGACCATGGACAGTTTCCCAGATACGACGGCGGCCCAAAGTGGTGACACGTAGTGGAAGCTATTATCCTCCGGCACCTCGAAGTGACCCCTTTGCTCGATGTCCGCCTCGCAGATGGTGATCAGATACTCGGCGATGTCCACGGCTCCCCGTTTGCAGGCGATGAAGAGGGGGGCGCAGCCATTTCGCTGCTTTCGCACCAACTCGCGACGGGAATCGCGGGGCAGCCTAAACAAAATATATTTAAAATATCAATTATTATTTTCTGTGCAGGCTTAAAGGTAGAGAATCGGAAGCTTTTGATCAGCACGTGCAGGGGCAATGATTTGGTGGGCACAATTGTTGATAAGATGAAGCGAGCAACGACGTCAAAACATTGGGCGCTTTTAGCAGAGAATTCACACATTGACTAGTCATTAGCTATGCTGATTATTGCTGATTAGGGCTTTTTTAAATGTGATTAGGAAATTACACATAAATATTTATGTTCGAAAGCAGATATAATCCTTTTGGTGTATTGGAAAATGAATATATACATTTAACTGGCGGACTTTATCATAAGTACAGAAAACATGAGTCAATAGGAACTTCAGAAAACTTCAGATGAATTAAACTTTTTTATCGCTAGGGAAAATCTTAATGTCTCGTATCCAGCAATTATAATTTTTTAAATTAGATTATTTAACAATTATTAACTGAATATAGTAAATAGTATCCAATAAATATAACAGTAGTTATCAAAATTATCAGTTAAATTGTGCCCATAAAATTCTACGTTTGCTTATCAATTTTTTTTATAGAGCAATAACTTTCTAAACAGAGTAAAATAAATAGAAATATAATTATAAAAAACTTGAAAATGGTGTAGCAACACTTTGGGGTGTTTTTATGTCGTACGTTCCATGAATGTTATACTTTATTTATCAGCTTGGTCAGGCGATGTGATTAGGACACAATTTATTTGTCTGTCTGTTCGTATAGCTCTTTGGAATTAATCAAAACACTGCCAAAAATGATTGGTAGATATATACGGTTTTCCAAATATGTATGGCACGACAATACCCTTTTATATCACTAGTGATAAAGAAGTTTGACTCATCTGAAGTTTTCTGTAGTCCCTATTGACTCACGATTTTTGTACACAGTGGAACTTTGGGCATTAACATTAACTTTCTACTTCTGAAGTAATTTACACATTTTCCAACTCAATTTAAGGGACATACTTTTCCAGTTCGTGGCGCAGGTGGCGCGACAGCAGCGAGTCCTCCTGGCTGCGCTTGCACTCCTCGATCAGATCGTGACTGAGCTTGGTTAGCTCCACCTTGGGACTGCTCTGCTTGCGTTCGTTGGCCATCGATGGCCGTGGGACTGGCTGCTTCTGCTCCTGCTCCGGCACCTGCTCCTGGCGGGGATTTCGATCCTGATCCTTGGCTTCCAGCTCCTGCTGCAGCTGCTCGACCTGTCGACGGCTGCCTTCAAGTGAGCGCATTGCCAGCGCACCGTCTCATTGCCAAACAAAATTGTTGGTTGGCTCTGTCTCTATGTCTCTATATCCTCAGCAGTGGGCGTGGATTGTGGGTGGCTGGGCCGTGGATGGGGGGGCGGGGCGACTCCCACCGGATGTCCTTGGGCCACTGCCCCTTGCAAAAACGGTGCGGCAGTGACCTACTGAACCCACCAGCCTGGGCTACTTAATTGGGTTGCTTCTCGCTGCTCCCGTTTTTCGCCCAAGGCCGTCGCAGCACTTTCTTTTTCTCTCTCTGTATGCCTCGCTTGGTTGCTTCTCCTTCTCCTCCTTCTCCACGAATCAATTTCTGTGCAGCGTGCAACCTGGGTGCATAATCTTCGGGCTTCCTTGGGCGATTTTCGCAATTGCAAAAATTCAAAAGCAACAACAACAACGAGTGCAGTGAGGTGTGTGGCCGTGTGTCGGTGTGGTGTGGGTGTGTGGCTCACGGTCTACACCATGTTTTTCCGTGTTTTCTGTTTATAAATAAAAAGTCAGCAAAACTCTTAACGTACAAGTGTTGCCAGATGAAAATCCCAAAAAATCCAGTGAAACACAACTGGGGGGGTGACAATAACCGAAACAGCTGCTGTAACAGGCGGCTGTTGGTCGCAACAGAGGGGCAGTTATCGATGTTTAAGCAATCGTGACTATCGTATACAATTAATTGTTATATATTTTTTATTTTTATTTTTTGTGATGTTAGTGATGTATACAAAAATAAAACTTTTACTTATAAAGGTGTTACCTCACAAGTTTTTGACGTACATATTGCTTTTTAATATTCAACTATCGTAAGAGTTAAGAGTAAATAAATAAAAAAACAGTTTACAAAAATATGATATATCTTGTTTAATAAAGTACATTTGTCATAAAATTATATGAATAGACAAATTTTAAATTACTTAAATGTGTGACTTTAAGCAATAGTTTTCTCGTTACTTAAACGATAGATATTATATCGATATTTCCGCACTGATGACAACTCTGCTCGATATTTTCTCACCGCTGGCAACCCTGTTTTCAAAGCCACAGCAACAACGACGCGCTGCTTGCAAAAAACAAGCCATTCATTTTTATTTGGGCCTCGAAATTGTGAAATAAAGCCAAATGGAATCTCCGGCGACCAACGATTTGGCAGCGGGCTTGAGTGGCGAGAAACTGGAGGTCTTTCGGAAGCTGAATCTGCTGGAACAGCATCGCGTGGAGAGCTTCAAGAGTTGGCCCTTTCCAGAGACCGCTACGTGCAGCATTTCAAAGGCAAGAACGGGATTAAATATTTAAAATGCCCATCAGAACTCATTGAAATAATTACTTAACAGATGGCCGAGGCGGGATTCTATTGGACGGGCACCAAGCGGGAAAACGACACAGCCACTTGCTTTGTGTGCGGAAAAACCCTCGATGGCTGGGAATCGGAGGATGATCCGTGGAAGGAGCACCTCAAACATGCCCCCCAGTGCGAGTTCGTAAAGCTGTCGTGTGCCGAAAAGGATTTAACTGTGAGTATTCAAAAATCTGAACCAACATACCCACATCCTATAGCTTGAGATATCCCTTCTAATAGGTATCACAATTCCTCGAAATACTCGGAACCGTTGTCAAAGGCAGCATAGAGAAAACCTGCAAAGCCTTCAAATTGAGCTTCGTTCGGGAAAACGAGGAGCGCCTAAATGAGTTTACGCATAATCAAAAATAGATCACTAATTTTTAAAATTTTAAATATATATTTAACCATTTGTTTGTAAAGATTTGCTAATAAAACGGGATGATAATGCCATACAAGATGTCAACACAAGTAAAATAAGGAGGGATTTCACGAAATATTAACGTTTAATTTATATTAAAATAATAAAAAGGAATAATTATGTGAAATCCTGAATCGCTATGCTACGGTCATACTAAGCCTTCCATTTGGAACAGCTGATTTAAAACAATAATAGTAAGCTAAACTAATCGAATGCAGTTCTAAGAATCCCCCTACCATTTCCTGATCGTTCTATATTGCGCTTATCAGTTTAGTCAATCGCCATGCTAAAGCGAAAATTAAACCAGCAAAAGGAAAATCTTGAGGATGAGGAGCCCAAAAAGTCCTTTCCGAATAAGGAAACTACAATATCTGATTTCTTTATCGAGCCCCTGTGGTCTAAGTTCTATAAAACCGAAGAAAAGTTGAACGAGATTCTGGACAAACTAACCCCACCCCCGAACATTTCGCACATCTATAACCCCATAGTGTATGCATCTCAACTGCACTGTGATTATCTGCGTCGTTATATGCAAGGTCCCAAACCGCTGGTTTTTATTGGAATGAATCCGGGACCCAATGGAATGGCTCAAACAGGGGTAAGTCGGAATTATTTTACTTCATTGCAATGTCCTTCAATATCTCATTGAAAAATCGTACCCTTCAGATACCCTTTGGCAACGTGCGCACAGTAAAAGTTTTGATGCAACTTTCAGGATCTGTAGACAAACCTCCGGTCGAACATCCCAAACGTCCTGTTTTGGGATTGGATTGCAGGATCGAGGAGCGCAGTGGTGTTCGTCTGTGGGAGTTATTTCTGCGACTAGCAGGCAACATGAATATCTTCTCCCAGCAATGCTTTGTGCATAATTTCTGCCCTCTGGCATTTTTTAGCGAAGATGGAAAAAACTTAACGCCCAGTGAACTGAAAGGACCTTACAAAAGGCAGCTGCGGGACTTTTGTTTGAAAACATTCGATGAGCAATTGATTCTGTTGAAGCCACAAGTGATTGTGGCTGTTGGGGAATATGTTCACACAGCACTAAAAGGTTCCAGCTACTGCAAATCGGAATCCGTTTCTGTCCTTCGGCTGCCGCATCCAAGTCCTCGATCTGTTAAAAATAACGATTGGCCGGAAAAGGCAGAGACTTTTCTCAAGGACAACAACCTAATTCGCTTTATGCGAAATGAGGCTTAAGGTTTAAACTTTAGACTCTAAAGTGAATCCGGAATGAATTTAACATAAAAATATTTTGGTAGGATCTAAAAAATTGGCAATACTCACTACATAATCGGCTAAGAAACCAAAGTACAAATTTTCTAATTCGTCTATAAGAATATAATCTATTAATTACGGATACGTATAATACAGAAAATGGATCTTCTAAATTTGTAAATATGAAATAAATTTAACAAAAAGTAACACAATTTTTTCTTCAAATTTGTATGTAAACATTTTCAAAGCTTAATACAAAATCATTTAAAAAAACTAAATAGTCTTTTTTATACAAAGGATAAAATTCTCGAATCCATTTTAACAAATTCTAAATTGTACATTTATTTTTCAAGAGCATTAAATTGTATTATTTGAATACCCTAAATATTTAAAAGAGTGATTTCACAGTGACCCCTCCACGAAGTGACCGTTCACCGCCAGCGCACCTCACAACCAGCATCCACAGCGAAAATGTAAGGAAAAGGCAAGATTTAACCCAAGCGCAAAATATATTGGCATACAAAACAGGAAACCTCCAATATATTCAGTATCCTGGAAAAACAAAGGAAATATGCACAGCCCTTGCGAACATGACGCCAAAGAGTAAGTTTATTTTATTTAATTATTACACTGGTCGACAAAAAAAAAGCCCAAGAATAAAAGCTACCAAACCTGAAAGGATTTTAGCTGTAGAGAACTACCTCATACTTGGAAACTTTCCATCACGTCGAAGTTTTGAGAAATCCGTGGTCAAAGTTCCAAATTTTCGATTTTTAGGCACTTTTTGCGGCTTAATAGCAAGAAAACCCTTCGTAGCCCAGAGCCAAAATTTAGCGGAAAAGGTACTTTGAACCTTTAATTTCAAGATTGCCCAATCACAAAGTTGGGCGTCCTCTACTTCTTTAGCTACAATCGATTTTACAAAAGTACTTTTTGTCACTTTTTTTCATCTATAGTAGCCTGATATTTTCCTTGTTGAACTGAGACCCGTACACATACAAAACATTAAAAATATCAGGCTACTATAGATGAAAAAAAGTGACAAAAAGTACTTCTGTAAAATCGATTGTAGCTAAAGAAATAGAGGTCGTCCAGCTTTGTGATTGGACACTCTTGAAGTTAAAGGTTCAAGGTACCAGTTCCTCTAAATTGTGGCTCTGGGCTACAAAAGGTTTTTTTACTATTATTCCGCAAAAAGTGCCTAAAAATCGAAAATTTGGAACTTTGACCACGGATTTTTCAAAACTTCGACGTGATGGAAAGTTTCCAAGTATGGGGTAGTTCTCTACAGCTATAATTCTTTCAGGTTTTGTAGCGTTTATTCTTGGGCCAAGAAAAAGTCTTAATTTTGTCGACCTGTGTTATTTATTTATTCTACTTTTAACTAATGGGTTTGAGCATTATTAACCAACATTTTTTTTTCTTTTCAGGTAAAATAAACCTATTTGATGACTATTAATTATTATTATAATTATACATTCAAATAAACAACAAATTTCTTATGATCCCCATTTGCCTTATTCAAATTCAAAACAGTTCAACTTTTGCGCCAAAAAACTCGAACAAAACAGGCCCACAGGGTGCGCCATATTTGTCAAATTTTGCGGCCAAAAAACAGGCCCACAGGGTGATTCGTATTCCCCTTAGTGTTGCAAAACGCCGCCAGAGTGAGAGCTGTCCCGAAGTCGCCTTTTGTTTTTGTTGACCTGGTCATCTGGGGAGTGCGGCTTTTCCGAGTTTATTTCCATGCCAAATGGCCGCCTTTATGGAGGAAGCTCTGGTGGAGGCACGACGGGCACGTGACGCAGGCGAGGTGCCCGTGGGCTGTGTGTTCGTTCATGGGGACAAGGTGGTTGCACGTGGCGGGAACGAGGTGAACATCCACCGGAATGCCACCCGTCACGCGGAGTTCATTTGCATCGATGCGATCCTGGCCAGCTGCCGCGAGCGGCGTCTTCCGGCCCGCCAGCTCTTCAGCGAGATCACGGTCGTGGTCACCGTGGAGCCCTGCATAATGTGCTCCGCCGCCCTGCATACGCTGGGTGTCAAGGAGATCATCTTCGGCTGCGAGAACGATCGCTTCGGTGGCAAGACGGTGGTGGACGTGGCGGCCGTCGTTGGCCAAAGGATCGACATCACGGGCGGCGTTCGAGCGGACGAGGCGATGGCCCTGCTAAAGGAGTTCTACAAGGGCGACAATCCGGCGGCACCGCCACAGGCCAAAAAGAAAAAGTAGGATGAGTCAACTACTTTCGGGTAAATGGGGTGAGTATCTATGATAATTATTTGCAAGACAAGACGATAAATTATATTGCTTTCAGGAGCAGTAATAGAGTTACCAAACAATCCCCAAGAAAAGAGGGAAAGTCAACAATCATTGGAACTTGGAACTTTCGAGAACAAAGCCTCAAGAAGAGAAGGTTGTTACCAACTGAATTAAATCAAGATAATGAAGTATAGAAGCAGGTAAAACGATGTATTTTCCGACCGAAAGATTCCCTGTAACCAAGAAATTCCTGAAATTATTTACATATTTTAAAAGAGTAAGAAAAGTATTCCGCTATGAAATGGAGGCAGAACTTTTTAAAGTAAAAATAGTTAGAAAAAAACTAGAAAACGATAGAATTATGAATGCTCCAACCATTTGCATCCTGGAAAATAGCCCCGAAAGTAAAATAAGTTCCACTGCATCATTCTTCGACGATTTTTGTATATGTTTCGATTTATTATAAACTTTAAGCATAGTCTAAGATTTATATATATAATATTATGTATATGGCGTTCAGAACGTATGTTTAAACTCTAAACATAAATACAATTACTGCATAAAAGCTACAACATTTACGTGTGTGTAGTGAAGGCTGTGCCTGTTTCCACTATAGGAAGACTACTCAAAAACCTTTTGTTTCCTTTTTTTCCGAAAAGCGTAAAGTGCAGCCTAGCAGTCCGACACCAAGAATCTAGTCAGCCCTCCAACAACCAAAGCTTTGGGAAATATTAAGTACTTTTTGTATAGGTAACGAGAGAAAACCTCTCGAGACAATGAATAATATTAATATAAAGTTCTGTAATAGCTTATAAACTTTCTGTTTAATTCTTAAAATTGTTTTTCTTTCAAGTTCCCATTTAAGCCTAAAGATGTTGGAGGGTTAAACCCGGACTTAACCTACTGTAATTTCCCTACGTCCTAAGCTAACTCTTCTTTTCGATCGTTTGCTGTGCCAGCCAATGAACAAGATCGAAATCAAGTGGCTGGCGCAGCAAACAAACAATGGCGGGGCGACTAAGAGAATCTAGACTAAATCTAATTAAATGCGCATGCTTCGGCGTCTATGGCCAATGTTGAGCCACTCCAGCGGCACATTACCGCCCACATTGTAGGTGGTTGGGGTGCAGTTGAGCAGCTTGCGAGCGGGCTCGCATCGACGGCTCACGTTCCAGTAGGCGAATCCCTGCGGACAGCGGTGGATCTGGCCCTCGATGCGTCCCGTCAGCTCCGAGAATCCGCACTTGACGAACAGCTGGCCGCACTGGTCATCGTTGAGCGCGAAGTGACCCTCATCCGGGCAGAGAGGGGCCGTCGAGCTGATTTGTACCTGTTGATGGAACCGAATAAGGTAGTATTATTGACTATATTCAAACGAATTTTCTGGAATTTTAACAGGAGGACTATTTTCTTGTAATGATACAAACGTAAAACGGGTATAATCGCCCACAATCGCGTACTAATGATTTTAAAATGTGTCTGGCGCCCACACCTTTAATGATTTCCGTGAGTATAAATGCAATTTTGTTGTGTATATTTATACCTATCGAAATGTAGAAGACATTTTTCCAATCGGACCATTCATTAAAAAGTTATGCGCAATCAAAAACATTTTTTATATTCATCTCCCTCGCACTCCCTTTAACTGAGTGACGGGTATTAGATAGTCGGAACACCCACCCAACTAAAGCGTTTTCTCTTGTTTTGCTGATGACTTACCACATTTTGAAGCTTTGTTTCCTGTTCGAATAAGTTTGTGGTCCTCTTCATGCCCTTGGAGCACTTGTCACCCTCCTGGGGTTTGCCACAACTGCAGGTCTTGTCCTGGTAGACAGTTCCATTGGGACACTGGAAGACCACGATGTTCAGATCGTTGCTATCGGAACTTTCGCTGCACTGGTAGAACATGCCACACTTCTCGGGATGCTGACGGAATCCGGTGGGGCAGACGTACAAATTCTGTCCAGGACCGGTTGTGGGACAAGGGGCGGAGGTGTTGGTACCGGGAGTTGGACTCTCAGTGGTGGTTGGGGCTTCAGTCGATGGCTCAGTGGTTGTGGTGGTCTCTGGCTTTTGTGTTGTGGTTGTGGTTTCTGGAGCTTCAGTAGTAGTGGTTCCGGGACTAGGAGTTTCTGTGCTTCCAGAAGTTGTAGGTTCGGTGGCTCCGGTGGTAGTTGTTTCAGGAGCTCCAGTTGTAGTGGTTTCCGGAACCTTAGAAGTGGTTGTTTCAGGACTTTCCGTAGTTCCTGGCGAGGCAGTCGTCTGTCCAGATGTGCAATTTCCCGATACCTGGCTGGCATAGTTGCAAGTTTCGGTGGATGTGTCCCAGACGGTTCCATTACCGCACTTGAAGGCATAAACCTGGTACTTGCCATTCTTGGCCGCATCTACACAGCGGTAATAGCGACTGCAGTCCTCGGGATCGGGGTAGAATCCCTCGGCGGTGCAGTTGTAGTTCGGCTGTGGGTCCGGCTGAACGGTGGTCGAAGGACCTTCCGGTGTGGTGCTTTCTGTACTTTCTGTACTTTCCGTAGTTGTTGTGGTTACCGGAGAGGTGGTGGTAGTGGGTGGTTGAGGGGCAGTAGTGGTTGTAATAGGTTCCATGGTTGTCGTAATCGGTTCTGCAGTGGTAGTTGGCTTATAGCCCGGCGTAGATGTTGTAGTTTCAACTTGAACGGGTGTTGTAGTGGGTGGGTAGCCGGGAATATTTGTGGTGGTAGGTTCCTGTGTCGGTTTGCCGGGATATTCGGTAGTAGTAGTGGGTTTCTGTGGTGCAGGTTCTTCTGTGGTGGTTGGCTTTCCGGGATATTCGGTGGTAGTAGTGGGTTTCTGTGGTTTCTCTGTTACTGGTCCTTCGGTTGGTTTTGTATTGGGCTTTGTAACGGTCGTGGGCTCATCTGTTGTTGGTGGGGTGGTACTTCCGGGATCCTTGGACTCTTCAATTGGTGTCGTTGTCTCTGGATATTTAGTGGTCGGTGGTTCGGTTGGTAAGTTTGAGCATCTCGGTATATTCTCCATGTAGTCACAGGTCTGAACATCTTCGTTCCATCCTGTGCCCTTGGGACACGTGAAGTTGTACTTTCTGTAGGATGCTCCAGCGTTGATGCATCGGTAGTACTTCCTGCAGTCTTCGGGATCGGCCATGTAGCCCTCTCCTGTGCACTCGGTTCCAGCCGGCAGGGGTTTCATAGTGGTTGTAGACGACGGTGGTTGCGTGGTGGTGTCTGAATTTGGTATCATCGTTGTGGTGTCAGATTCTGAACTGATTGTTGAAGTACTTGGTGTTGTACTGGTTGGAATTTCTGTGGTCGTGGTGGGTGGTCTAGTTGTTGTAGTGGGAGGTAGCGCAGTTGTTGTAGTGGGAGGTAGCGCAGTTGTTGTAGTGGGCGAATCAGTTGTTGTAGTGGGTAAATCGGTTGTTGTAGTGGGGGAATCAGTTGTTGTAGTGGTTGAATCAGTTGTGGTAGGTTGTTGTGTGGAGGTTGTTGGTGTCTGAGTGGTTGTTGTTCCATTGGTTGTTGGTTCACAGGGAGGTTTCGGTGTAGTAGAATCATTCATGCCAGTGTTACAATTGTTGAAATTGTGGTTGCAGGTCTGCAGATCCTGATCCCAAACAGTACCAGCTCCGCATTGGAATGGAATTGGGGTGAAGCCACCTTTGTTGTTCCTTACACAGCGATAGAACTTTGAGCAGTTGCTGGGATCAGCCATAAAGCCCTCTGAGGTACATTTGCCATTATTGTTGGGTGACTGAGTGACAGGTGATGTGGATGGAGAGGAAGGAGATGAAGTAGTTGGTCGGGTGGTCACAGGACGAGAGGTACTAGATGGTCCTGAAGGTCTGGATGTGGAAGATGGTCCAGAAGGTCTTGAGGTGGAAGATGGTCCTGAAGGTCTGGAGGTGGAAGATGGTCCTGAAGGTCTCGAGGTGGTTGTGGGTCTGGCGGTGGTCGAAGGAGGAGAAGTTGGTGGCGGAGCAATGCCACCGCATTCCTTTACGGCCCAAGCATGGTTACAGGCTTGAAGTTGAGCATCCCAAACAGTGCCAGGACCGCAGCTGAAGGCCACCATATTAAAGCCTCCTCTATCATTATCCACGCAGCGATAGAACTTGGAGCAATCGGTTTTATCGGCAACAAATTGTCCATTGACCTTGCAGGATTCAGAAGGATTTGGTTTGGAAGAAGTCGAGCTGCTGCTGGAGGAGGATGAACTGGAGGAAGATGAGGATGAACCTTGATTATTGTTGTTGCTTGAAGAAGATGAAGATGATGATGACGATGAAGTCGATCCATTTCCAGAAGAGTTGGAACCAGAAGAGGAGCCGCTGTTAGACGAGGAGCCTTGATTAGATGATTCACTGTTGGAAGATGATCCACTGTTTGAAGATGATCCTGTATTTGAGGAGGAGCCACTGTTCGAAGAGGAACCACTGTTTGAAGATGATCCAGTATTTGAGGAGGAGCCACTGTTCGAAGAGGAACCACTGTTTGCGGAGGAGCCATTATTGTTTGATGAACTATTCGAAGAAGAACTACTGCTGCTAGAAGAAGATCCGCCTTGATTGACCACTTTTTTGCACTTGAGTGGCTTGGTCTGAATCTGATCGGGATGGTTGCAGCTGTTGGCCTCAGGATCCCACAGAGTGTTTGGTGGACAGGTGAATGATACTTTTGTAAATCCACCCTTTCCATTATCCACGCAGCGATAGAACTTGGAGCAGTTTTCGTTGTCAGCGAGGAAAGTTTCCTCACTCTCACATTTCTCAGCGGGTTTAAAGGGTTTTTGTGTTGTGGTTGATGAAGATCCTTCGGTAGTTGAGGATGAAGTCTGGTTAGAAGACGACGATTGCTGAGAGGATGACGTTTGATTGGAGGAGGACTGGTTGGACGAAGATCCTTGGTTGGATGAAGATCCCTGGTTGGAGGAAGATCCTTGGTTTGAAGAGGAACCCTGGTTGGAGGAAGATCCCTGGTTGGACGAAGATCCTTGGTTTGATGAGGAACCCTGATTGGAGGAAGATCCCTGGTTGGAGGAAGATCCTTGGTTTGATGAGGAACCCTGATTGGACGAAGATCCTTGGTTTGAAGAGGAACCCTGATTAGATGAAGATCCTTGGTTAGAGGAAGATCCTTGGTTTGAAGAGGAACCCTGGTTGGAGGAAGATCCTTGGTTGGACGAAGATCCCTGATTGGAAGAAGATCCTTGGTTGGAGGAAGATCCTTGGTTTGAAGAGGAACCCTGATTGGAGGAAGATCCCTGGTTGGAGGAAGATCCCTGGTTGGATGAAGATCCCTGGTTGGAGGAAGATCCTTGGTTGGACGAAGAACCCTGATTAGAAGAAGATCCTTGGTTTGAAGAGGAGCCCTGATTGGAGGAAGATCCCTGGTTGGAGGAAGATCCTTGGTTTGATGAGGAACCCTGATTGGACGAAGATCCTTGGTTTGAAGAGGAACCCTGATTAGATGAAGATCCTTGGTTAGAGGAAGATCCTTGATTGGAAGAAGATCCTTGGTTTGAAGAGGATCCCTGATTAGATGAAGATCCTTGGTTGGAGGAAGATCCTTGGTTTGAAGAGGAACCCTGGTTGGAGGAAGATCCTTGGTTGGAGGAAGATCCTTGGTTTGAAGAAGATCCCTGGCTTGAAGAGGAACCCTGGTTGGAAGAAGATCCTTGATTAGACGAGCTGGAGCTGCCACTACCATTGGCCATAGCCTTGCATTGCTCCTTTTGCACATCCGTGGGATGGTTGCAGCCCTTAGTGTCGGGATCCCAGACCGTTCCCGGGGAACAATCGAAGGGAACCGTAGTGAAGCCACCATTACCATTCTCTACGCAACGATAGAATCGGGCACAGTCTTTCTTATCTGCCAAATATGTTTCCGTATCTTGGCAATCACCATCGGGATTTGAGGGTTTGGGAGTCGTTGATTGAGTGCTGTTGTTTGATGAACTGTTGTTGGAACTTGAGCCTTGATTGTTGGATGTGGACGATGAAGATGAGCTTTGATTGGAAGACTGATTGCTGGATGAGCTTTGATTGGATGATTGGTTACTCGATGAGCCTTGGTTGCTGGAAGAACCTTGATTGCTAGACGATCCTTGATTGCTGGATGAACCTTGGTTGCTGGAAGAACCTTGATTGCTAGACGATCCTTGATTGCTTGATGAGCCTTGATTGCTGGCAGAACCTTGATTGCTAGACGATCCTTGATTGCTAGACGACCCCTGATTGCTGGAGGAACCTTGATTGCTAGATGATCCTTGATTGCTAGATGAGCTCTGGTTGCTTGATGATTGATTGCTAGAAGATCCTTGATTGCTGGAAGATTGATTGTTGTTGCTGGAGGAGCTTCCACTCGATTGCTGTCCAGAGTTGTTACTGCCACCGGATGAACTCGATTGAATGTTGCATTTCTTCTTTTGATCTTCAGTTGGGAGGTCGCAGACCTTGTCTTCTTGGTTCCAAACGGTGCCGGGACCACAGGTGAAGGGCACTTGCTCTAATTTTCCATCTTTATCTTGGCGACATCTGTAGAATTTAGCACAGTCTTCTTTGTCGGGAATGTAAGTATTTTCGTCTTCGCATTCGGTTGGCGCTGGTTTATTGGAGCTCTGTGTGCTGTTGGAACTGGAGGATTGGTTGTTGCTGGAGCTCTGATTATTGTTGGAGGATTGATTGCTGCCAGAGCTTTGGTTGCTGCCCGAATTCTGGTTGCTACTTGAGCTTTGATTGCTGCTGGAGCTTTGGTTGCTGCCGGAATTATTACTGTTTGAAGATTGGTTGCCAGAGCTTTGGTTCTGGTTACTGCTGGAGGATTGAGAACTGCCAGAATTTTGGGAGCTTGAACCCTGATTGCTGCTGGAGCTTGTGCTAGACTCCTGATTGTTGCTAGATCCTGAGCTAGACTCCTGATTGTTGCTAGAACCAGAGCTAGACTCCTGATTGTTGCTAGATTCCGAACTAGATTCCTGATTGTTGCTAGACCCCGAGCTAGATTCCTGATTATTGCTAGACGAGGAGCTCGATGTGGAAGACTCCTGGCTGGAGCTAGAATTAGATGTCGAACTGGACGTAGAACTGGAGCTTTGGGAGGAATTCGAACTGGAACTGGTGGAGGAGCTCTGCTGGCTGCTTGAGGTGGAGTTCTGGTAGCTGGTCTGCGACGATTGTGTTGACGTTTGGCCGGCGTAATAACCGTCGTTCTGGGGAGCCGCTTGATTGCGACAACCGCCGTTGGCACGTACGTCAAACATGTGGTTGCAGGACTGCAGGGACTCGTCCCACGCGGTGCCATCGGAGCAGCGGAAGCCGATTTTGTTGTAGCCTCGGCCATTCGAGATGCAGCGATAAAACACGGTGCAGTCGCTGGGATCGGTCATGAAGCCATCATCCCGGCATATTACTCCCTCCTCCGCCGAGCCAACAGCTCGCAGGGATGATGAGCTGGAAAAGGATATGACAGAGACACCGCTGAGACCTGCCATTCCATAATTCGTGGGCAGCCGATGGGTGGAGGCATAGGTACGCAGCTCATTGGCCGCAGGTGTGACGGCCAGGTTAAGCATCGCATTATGGTCATCCTGTCCGTAGTCGTCCTGCTCCCACTTCTCCATGCCCTCCATGCCGTCGCCGTCCACCTCGTTCACCTGGTCCACGCACTCATCCCGGCCAGCCATCGCTGGTGGCAGACACATTCGCAGGGCGCGCGAGAAGACCGCATCCTCGGGACAGGCCAGCAGGTAGGGTTGAATGTATTGGCCCGAACGCCGCTCGCAGCGGTAATAAATCCGGCAATCGTAGTCGTCCGCAAACAGGCCCTCTCCAGGACAGTAAAAGGCCACGTCTGTCTGGTCCATCGGCGTTGGAATGTCTGCAATAAAAATATATGAAGGGGTCTTTAATTTTTCTGATCTTAACCCTTTTAGGCACTTCATTTAAGTGATTAAAAAGCTACTAATACGATGGTTATATGGTTAAGGGTTATATGAATTATAAATCCAAAACTAATTTAATATTAAGGTTTAATGCTTAGCTTACTGAAATAAAATGTAATTAAAAATGTATAATGTCAAGAGCTAAAATGGATTTCGAATTGAAAATACACAACAAATCGTTTTGACGCCTTCGATGGGTAAACAAATGCCTAAGAAATAAAATAAACATACAATTTCTCTTAATAAAATACTGCACTTTCGGCCCTTTCCCTAATTTGTTTTCCAACTGGAGAGTATCAATCTACAAATTAGCATACATTTTTTTTGGAACATCCATATAGTTTACTGGTATATATGACCAGGCAATTTGAAATCGCCCGCTGGAACAAACCATTGAACTGAAACTTCCTGTCACAAATTCTCCCGACTGCATATATTACATACATATTTATAGTACATGTATGTCGGACACATCTATCTACATATATTTTGCTCAATTTCGTTTGACATTTTCCGCGCTCGTCTTTCGTTTTTCGTTGCGGGATTTTTCGCGCTGTCAAAATAAAATTGATAATTTATTGTCATTCAATGTGAGAGAGTCCTCTTTTTTCAAAAATTTTTGTTGTTTTTCTTGTTATTTGGTGGTGGCATACGCAGACTTTGCCTTCCAATAAATTTAAATGCATTTATGGCCGTTACAGCGGAACAAATTCATTTTGAAAATGAATTGCGAGTATGTGTTTTTCTTTCGGCATGTTTTTATCCAGCTTTACAGTTTTTTTTTGCTTTCCTGGTCCTTTTTAAGTGTTGCTAATAAAGGAGAAGAGGCCTTCGGGGTTGTGAACATTGTAAATGCGCGGCTAAAAATTAGAACGGGTCTAGGCATAAATTCACATCAGTCACTGCCTAATATATTTGATTTCGTTTTTTCTCCTCCTCTCCCTTTCCTGTTATTATTATTATTATCAGAGCATGTAAGCCTTGGCCAATGGTTTATGGTCTAAATGGCCGGAGGCCATATATTTCTTATGAAAATTGCCAAATTTAATGGCCATAAAATTTAATTATACCAAAATGTGGTTAGGCGGCACAGACGAGAATATTTATTTGGGCAAAAAGTGTGTCAGATTAATGGAAACTTTTAGTGATGCATAGGTGTAGCCAGGATGTGCGCACCAATTTGTATGAAAATTAATTTCCCATAAAATGTTGGGTAAAAATTAAAATGTAAACTAGCAAGGTTGTGGAAAAAACAAGGGAAATAAATAAATATTATTGCTACTTCATATTGTTATTCAATTGTAATTTTAGGGGCTTTACTGTATTTAAAGGTTACAGAAAAACTCGTCAAAATTAAATTTATTTTATATAAATATTTCCTCTTGAATTCCATATAACCCATAGTATTTACACGCCCATTTGCATTAATGGCAAAGCGCTTAAATTTTAAATGTAACCTCTTGGCTGGCCGCAACCGAAAATCCAGTAAACTAATTTAATAGAACGCCTCACAGCACACGGCTTGGCTCGCAGCTCGCTGCTCGTTGGCAAACAAACATAAAGTTTCAATTTGTACACGAAAGCCCAAAAATGCTAAACCCATTACACAGATGGCGGCGATGGAGGATGGAGATGTGTGTGTGCCACCCGAGGAGGATCCTTGCCGACGTCCTCCAGCGTTGAGGGAAAATTGACCGTTTTACGATTTTAATTATATATGATGTGTACTTTGGAACTTATGCAAAATGAAACGAAAGGAGAGCGCGGCAATGCGACCGCAAACTTATGCGTTGCCCCAGCGAAACCGTCCCCTAATATATATATATATATCTGCATGTATATATATTCACTGGCATCTGCCAACCGGGAGCAGGCGTAACATGGTTAGCCACAATCTGACCGCAGAGCATGGCCGCAAATAGTTTCGGATATGCCATTGCCATTGCCACCACGCAGAACCAACCCAGAAACACCCATTAAACCGCCCAAAAACAGGAACAGAAACCCCCCCCCCACTAACCCATTGCATTAAAATTTCAATTTTCAACATTTAAGCACGTTACGGTTTACGAAAATTTAGTTATAAAAGCATGCATAAGTACGCTGTGTGAAAATATCCCCTTTCCTTTATTTTACTACCTACATAGGCATAATTTTCATGGCCCCGCCAGCTGGCGAAAATGACAAATTGTGATTTCTATTTTTCACTCTATTTTTCCTTGATAATTAAATATTTATAGAGCGGCTGGTTCGTGCGGTTTACTGTTTTGCAGACCCCATTCGCTGCTGGCTGTCATTGAGTTTGCTTCGTTGAACAGCAATGTCTGTTATTTAAATTTTCATTCGACAAATAGAAAATCTTCCCAAATGACCAACTGTAATATCTAAATTCTTTTTTTTTATAGTTGTTTGCTTTGGAGGTTTCACAAAATGCCAACTTGGGACGTTTAAGCGTTTCGTTGTCGCCTGGAGCTGTTTTGGGTATGTTACAAGAAGTCAGAGCAAATGTCCCTTAATTAGTCATTAAAAGTTTCGTCATTATATTCTGTGCTCGATTTTGGTAGCCTTTTTTTTTATACCACTACCGCAGGGGTTTTGTAATTTAACTGGCCCAGATAGTGAGTTAAAGGTGTGAAAAGGGGAGACTGGGGAAAATTTTAATATTTGTTTTTACTGTTTTGTGATCTGTTTTTAAACATACTTATTATTTATTATTTGCAAAATATATATATTCCGTTTAAGTTAAAACTATTACCTCATATTGTTTGGTTCTACATTGATGAACCCATGATTTTCTGCAGTTTTTCTATCCCAACTACGAACTTTACCATCTGTTTTAATGATTTTAGTGACTGATTCTATTACTTGGCCTAGAGAGTGCAATGAAAAAGGGGAATTCAAATGTCAGTTGGCAGCTTGACATTAGCCGCTTGTCGGATCCCTTAATATCTTTCAATCTGGGTCTGTTTTTCTCCATCTGTCTCTATCTCTATCACTATCGCTAACCCGCTCCATCTGGAAAACTCCCCGAGGGCCTTGTAGTTGCAAGTTGTAAATATGATATTTGGATTTTTGAGCTTTCGCCCATCGTCGGGCTGGCAACTCGGTAATTTCATTTGCCTCTGGTGGCATTTTGCGCCTGTGTCTTCATGTTGGAACGAGCGAATGGTCGTACGTGTTGGTTGGTTAGTCCGGAGTCCTGAATCCGGATAGTGGGGTACCGTATTTTCGTTTCAAGTGCATGTTTATGCCACGCCCATTTCATTCGGTTCCGCCTGCCCCGCTCAAATTTCATGGTGGCAAATGACCAGCTACAGGAAATTCAATTTATTATGCAGCTTGACAGTTTTTAGCCATTCTCTCTCTAAGATGACAGCTGTTTCTACTGCTCCAGTTATTGCACTGAGAAAATAACTAATCTCTTTCGATCTGGTAAGCAAAATGTTGAAATTTGTTTTAGAGTAACAAAAAATAAAATAAGTTAAACAAGAGAAATTTAATATTTAAGTTTAAATTCTTCTATGTATATTTGATAATTTGAAGTTTTAAAAGCTTTTTTTTTGGTAGCTAAATTTTTTTCTTGGCTTTGTTTTTTCTCTCTCTGCACTACTGCTCCTTTTCCTGATCCTGTGCTGCTGCTTTCTGACAGCTTCAGTGGATGAAAATGAAACAGAAAATAAAAATGAGTGAACTCCTCGCTAATTCTGGCATCTGTCGGGCTTCATTTTGGAGTCTCCTTTTGAGTTTTTTCCTATTCTAGCACCGATTTCGAATGCGATGCGCCAGATGCATTTGAATTTCGCGCTGCGCTGCGCTCGAGCAGATTTTAATATTGGCAAACGTCCTTGAGGCCATCGATTGTTCCCTAGGATTTTCGCTTTGGCCAGCAGTTCCAGTCATTACTCATACGCAGCGTGTGACACAATCGCCACTATGCATTATTCATGGCGATGCGGCTACGCTGGATAAACTTGTCGGAAAAGCTGCCGACAGTTGGCAGGGAAATGTTAAATATTTAAATGCCTTTGCCACCCCGAGTCTGCGTCCCAAAACCATGTCCCTCACTCTCTCTCTCTCTTGGGGAATTGCCTTTAACTAGGAGCAATTAATTTGAATTTGAACTATTTAGAGGCACCCGCACTCATGGCAAAGAGGCGTGGCGGATGGAGAGGGGGAGGGGCTCGGTTAACTGGGCTCCAGGAGCAGCCATCCAGCCATCCTGCCGGTAAATTAAGCATAAAGCGCTTTTAGTTACAATCACGTTCGTCTCAATTAAACTACATTAAATTCAATTAGCAGGCAACAGGAACACGAAATGAAAGCAACATTGTCATTACGGTTTCAGGCAAAAGCATCTCAGGTACACTGAAAAAAGTCTGTCAAAGGTATGTATTTAATATAACTTATTAGGTTAACTATTTAAGAATATTTTTTCTTCTATGGGTTAGTTTTTATTTTTCAGTTCCTCTTGAAAGAGTAATCTTAAAATAAGGACCTATTGTTACAGAATTCCCTATCGCTTTACTAGTATTAAAAAATCCCTTCGCTCAGTGCAGCCACGATAAGAGCCAAGTCTTCTGGCCAGGACGAAATGACTCAAGGACTCAAGACACAGGACACCCCACCCCAAGGAGGCGGAGGCGAAAATCTAGCGATGGCCTGACTGACAATTGACTTTCATTATTTCTTACATTCCTGGCTGCATTATTGAGGCCTGGTGCTGGGCATATTTGACAGGACGAAGGAGCTGCGCCTTTGTGGAGCACTGCTGCTGCTGCTGCTGCCTTGGCGTGTTAGTTTCCCAGTGTAATTAAGTTTAATATTTAATTTAATTGCATAAAGATACACGCACACAACTACAGCGTCGCCGGGCCTCATAAAAGGACACGCGCAGAGACAATGTTGGCCATTTTGCTACTGCTGCTAACTGAAATTA